TAATTCTATTAAAATCATCTCTAATCCCTCCTCTTTATTTTTCATGCAACCTCTCTAACTGCATTACATGTTTTTGTCTTAGTTTTTAACTTCGAAAAGTTTTTTTTTTAACTTCGATTATTGCATCTTTCTCAGTTTTGTCGCACTTAAGTTATTTTTTGGATTATTTATTTATATGAAAGTGAAAGAGGTTCAAAAGATTTTTGGAAGCATTCATCCCATTACTTAATTACTGTCAAATGAATTTATAATTAATTTCAGTGTATTTTTTGCAACATAGGTCGATTATCTTCATTTGTACAAAATATTGCTCTACAACCAAATTGAATTTATTGCCAAATTTCTTTTGCAAAATGTTATATTTTATTGAAATTCCAGTTTGCCATGTAATCTACTTACTTGTCCTTTTTCGCTAATTGTTACGATAGAATTTCTCATGAATTTGCGAACCAGCAAAGCAACATACGAATTTATTTTAAGTTGATAAGAATTACAATAAAAATAACTGTTCTATCACATTTTATAGATTAAAAAAGCTTCGGTCTTTTAGCCTTTTATGTAAGTTTTTTGTAACACATTTAAGACTTTTCAACAATAGCGACTTATCCCAACATACTCTTTTTACAGAAGTATTATTCTGAAGGAATTCTCACATACCAAAATGACTTGAAAAGAAACAAGTATTAGAAAATGCCATCACATGAAAATTTTCACCCTGATATTATGTCCTGTTTTGCTCACATATCTAACTTTTAGAAAGAGCTACTTAAAAAAGTATTATACGTTATAGTTAAGTAAGTTATTTTATTAATTGGCTCTCGATAAGTGAAGTAGACATCTATAACCTTTCAAGCAAATTGTTTGAAAATGCATTTAACTAAAATAACAAGCTTCATATTCTTCAGCAAAATCATTGCTGAAATTCTGCAAAAAGAAGTAAAAACTCTCATTTGAGGTAAATTGTATTATAATTGAAGACAACAACAAACACATCCCACTTTATTTTGGTATTTGGTACACATCAATAAACAGTTAGTTGTCTTTTTTTCTTGCTTATTTTCTTCTATAAATGTGTTTCTTAATAAATTATTTAAAAGAAGCTGGTTATATGCACAAGCAGAGAAGTCCACATGGATGAAAATAAGATATGAGGTCATAAAAATTCATTCTTTTCATTACTGACGATGAAAATTTTCCAACTAGGAGCAAGTTTCACTAGTGTCTGAACCAAAACATTTCAAGTCTATAACCTCATTTTTTTTTTTAAAATCGCGAGATAGAAAAATTGAAATTAACATTGATGATAGAAGAAAGCATTTATTTCCAATATTGACAGTATTCATTGCACAAGTTAGTATCCTGAATGCCATGAGAATCGTTTTATATTAGCATACTGTGTTCAACTTAGTTATTTATCACTTCAAATTAAAACAATGGAAATTTTTTAGCTTATAAAACATTTTTCTTAATACTACTAATATCTGGCTATTATTTTGTTCCTATCCAATTATTATTATTATTATTTTACTCTCATTGTCCAACCAAGACTAGTTAAATTACTTTTTGTTAAATTTTCTTTTGGAAAAAAAAAAGAAAAAAGAAAGTCGGCTATAATAAATAATTTGTTCAATAATCCACAAAAATTATAATTTGTCATTTACAAAATTTTCAAAAACAGCACTCAGAATCTTAAAAATGGCACGGCAAATGTACACTAACGAGAACACTGCACATTGTGTAATGTACCGTTATTAATATAAGATAATCAAATGCAAGGACTTAAAAATAGAAAGAAATCGGGTTGGAGGTCGATAATTGATGAGTCTATCTACTAATTATAGTGATGCAACCAAAATCAATCGCTTAACTTGATCAAGCATTATAGTCATGCCTCAAACAGAGAACTGCAATCATGCCACATACGTTCACAATGAAAACTTATTAAGTTCTCCCGTTTTATCTGTTCCCTAATTTGTTTTGATACAGCCATCTAATTCTTATACCGATAAACTTTAATGATAGGAGAAGAACGATAATATGCTTGTAAGCTCTTTTAGTTACCATCAAATTATCAAATTGGAAAAATAATCAAATTAGTGCTGAATAATTGAGTTATTTCCAGCATTAATAAAAAAATTTTGTTTTCTTTAATTATTTTTGGTTCTTATTATGAGGTACAAGTGTCAAACTGATCATCATATTTCTTCATGTGTCATGAAATCATCTGTTATTAAATCAGTAACTGAAATTTGTACTTGGTAGAGATTGTTCAATACTAGTGAACTAGTAGTGTGAAGAGGAATGCAGCATGATGGAATCAGTCGCAGCAGTTAATACCCGCGTCACCACTTCCAATTACAATTATTTCTTCTTCCTGTCTTATCATAGTAGCAGGTTGCAAGGAGGGCAGAGACAGTTTTGATTCGTTTTTCTCGTTTTGCTCAGAATCATTGCTGATAAGTAACGGGTACATCGCAAATGCTGTCGGCTGCGTCGGGTAAGAGAAGAAGGATAAGAGGAGAGGGAAAAGGTGGGGTTTCACGTTGAGACAGCATACCTCTCTTACCTGACAACAACAGTTTTCAAAGGTAGCCAGTTTTGCCCCGTTTTAAACTTCATCGTCAACCTTTCATATCATCTCTTTCGTCTTCTCGTAAAAGATCTTCCCAAAATAGGTTCTCAGTCTTTTCAGTAGTAATTTTCGATTATAAATTAAACATCTTTGTTTAAAATAATAACTGTTCATAAATAGTATATAGCCATACATCATAAAGTAGTGATAACAATTAATGATAATATATGAACGATAATGACTATCAAATGGAAGAAGCAACACCCTCAAAACAATATTTAGAACCGTAATAATGATGGTAATGGTAAATGGCAGTGGTATTGGATTGAAGTGATGATAATAATGATAATAAGGATAATGACCGCGATTATTAGTGACAATGACGCACTGAGTTTGATGAATGCAAAAGTTAGTTCATAAACAATACGGGATAGATGATGACGACAATGATGAGATTCAAAATGTGTTTATATTCCATTAAACCTAATTTGAACCTGTTTCTTCTTCTTCTACCTTTCCTCCAGCTTTCAAACCAGCCTTTATCAGATCCTGTTCTGCTAGGTAAGTACCAACAACAATTCGTGATACTTTTAAGACCAACAACACCACTCGCTCGTTTATCCAAGTTGATACAGCCATTGGCGATGAATTTGCTTCCATTGAACATTTTTCGATTTTATGATGGTTTAATTATATAAGAAAGAAGGATCAACAAACTGATTATCGTCCTTACAATGCATAAACCGTAATAAATGTCAGAGAAAGCGTACGCGAAATTTGCGTAAGACCAATTATCCTTGGGAATATTTTTGTAAATAGAATGAGGATAGTAAGATGTCAAAAGTTAGCTTCTGACTTTTGCTACTTTTCATCTTACGACTTCTTAAATTAATTTCATCATTAGCTTTCTTGCCAATGAAACTCCTATAGTTAATTTAAACCACAGTTCTTATTACAACATGAGTTTCAATGACAAATCAAAGGAAAACTAAAAGTTAAAGGGAAATTGGTTGTTCAGATTGATGATATACGTATTACTTAAATGTTGTAAAATAAACGATTTGGGACGAAATTTTTTCACGAAATATTTCTCTACTAGTTTTTCTTTTCCCCTACTTTTCCACTACTACTTGGTTAAAATAACTAGGAAGTAAAACTATGTTTTTCAATTTATTTGGAAAGTGATTTTTTATTACATTACTGAAGTAAAAAAACGAATCGAAATTGAACTTTTGGTTGAGGGAGACAATTTAATCATTTATTTTTCACATGTCTAGAATTTGTCAAAATTTTTAAAACCCAATTTTTTCATAATTCTTTTTAAAAAATTTTCGACCTTTTATCTACATCGCACCATTGAATTATCGGATCGCTAACTAACGTTAGTTTTGATTGAAATGGAATTCTCGAGGCAACAGTAATGTTACACGCCGTAGGCCTAATATTTTGGTATAGTTTCACTGTTTCGCTCTTATGCTGGACACAAAAATCCCATTTCTTGAGAAGAATCTATTATATTTCTTCGTCTTATTTTTTTATATCTTTTCACTTCATTTATAAGGTGATTGAATTTTAAAGTTTCCCAAAATCTAACGCATAAACTTAAACAAATTTTTCGAATACGAAAAGCATAATAAAAGTATAATCAAGATAAAATTATAGAAAATTAGTGTTGGACAAGTTAGGTAATCGTAAGGATTTTCTGGCTTCTCTGTTTTTCACAGTTTTTTGCTTTCTGTTTCGATTCATCCTTTATGCTTATTTCAAGACATGCGCAAAGCTTCTCTCAACACTTTCGGTTCTTTTCAAAGTTTCTCTCTGTCCAATGTCTTGGAATGGTGATGTAAAAGAATCTTTCTCGTTCCCATTTCTTCCCGCTCTTTCCATTCTTTCCCGTACCTCACTTCCAAATTCCAAAAGCCAAGCAATAAATGTCGTCAGTTGATTCGCAATATGCTAAATATTTTGCTTCCTTAGACGAAGTCATGCAACTTTCCTTCTCTTTTCTCTCATTGCAAATCTCTCAAAACATTTTATACATGCAATTTGATTTGCCCTTCTCCTAAATACCAAATCACTCTTCCTCTTCCAACATCTCTGCATAGTATTCATCGCGACAGCAGCATGTATTGTATGTAAAGGTAATAATCTAAATAAATCACAAATCTCAACAACAATAAGGTTGCCTACTTGATAAGCACGAATACTTTTTTCTCGAAAATATAGAACCTGAACTGTTCTTTCTTCTCTTTTAATTTAACTCAACTATTCAAAAAAAAAAAAAAAAAAAGTTGAGAAATGTGACTGCTTTGGAATTGAATATGAATAAAAAAAAGATATTTATCGAGGACCAAATTAGGAAGTGAACCTTTTTCTTGGCCAGTTTCGTCTTCTACAAAATATTGCATAAAAAGAACCAAAAAATATATCACCTATTGCCAAAATTGTCATGAACTTCTGCCCAACATAATTTCTGTAATAATGCAATGAATACTCTGTGTTATTATTCATCAGTCATTTAAAATATAAAGGTATCCATTATCGTGCAAAATAAGCCGCTATCAGTATTTGCATTTTAATTAAAGGTGTATATGTTATATGCAAAATTAGTCGTTCTACATCAAATCATGTGGTGTCATTGATATTGGTAGTAAAATATTTTGGCAAATACCTTTATTTCATATGATACCATGCAAATTGTATGTCTTGCATTGTTGTTGTGAGGTGATCGTAGAATTGCACAGAAAATAAAGGCAATACTGTCACCAATCTGCTTGCTGATGATTAATTTTTCTATATTTCTTTGAAACTTTTCCATAACTTCAACAGTTGGCATATGTTTTCAATAGCGAGATACTATCCTACCATTCGAGAAATTCAGTTAGTAGTTAACATTTCCGAATAGCCCGAATCACTTGCTTAAGCATTTTCTCCTGAAATCACTATCCATCCATTCTTCATCCATTATGCTTACACTTTATGACAGTCATCTTATGACCGTGCTTTGAATGTTTTCTTATATCCTGTATAGCATGCTTTTCCTCTTCTGGAAATTACCAATGATGCAATCTTCCAAACGATCACACAAGCAATATGTGCCTGTGGCCATATATGCGCTCACATTACCTCATTTTCAATTATAATGAGCTAATTCTAAAATTATTTAAAAGTAATATTAGATTTGCAAACTTTTCGTTAAAGAGTATGATATTTATTAGATTTCTGCTCGAAGTAGAATTCTAAAGATAACCGTGATTGACTGATTTTTAGTTCTTTGAAGAGCTTGTGTTCAATAATGAAATTTGAAACACCTTTTCTATTGTCAGTTTCAAAAATTTTCTACTTCTTTTTATGAGCAATGAAAAAGCTTTTATAGAGTACAAAAAGAATCAATTTAAATATCTACATTACTATTACCAACTGCTGCATTTTGTTATACCGTAAATGAATAACGCTTTCAGTTCTTTCATCCGACTGCTCATCAAGAAATAGAAAAAATTATGAAAATAAAAATAATATGAACTCATTTATTTACTAGTGGCAATAAGATTATCTGCTTCAACTACATATTACAAACAGTCTTGCTTATGACTTTCGTTTCTTTAAAATATTAGATAATTTCATTTCTTTGTAACTTAAAGTTCTCACATCGATCAGACAACACATTTTTGCATAATTTTATAAAAAATTGCACTTTTTGTTTGCATCTGTTCTATCGTAAAATTGTCAGATTAATTCAAACTACCGACTGACAATTGAACATGTGAAAAAATGTAGTAGGAGAAGAAGAAAGGCTCCATTTCAAAATAGGCTCGGATCTTCCATCGAGAATTATTAATGCGGACCAAATGTATTCCACTTGATTATATATTACAGCCTACTAAGATGACATTTATTCATTTTAATCATTACTTCAAGGCTTTAGAAAATCGTAAAGGATAGGATACAAATTCTGATCTTATCACTAGTCTTTCTATTATTATTCATGATCTTTATAATATTGCAGTTCACTATTGGAAATGCTACTGTGGCACAATAAATGAGCTGCCAGTGTCACTAATATGAAAAGTGGACTAAGAAGTATAGGATAACTGCATTACAGTTTGAAATAGACCTTAACCTTTATATCTTTTTAGAATAAATGCAATCTTTGTTTCTTTTCTTTTTCATATTTCTTTCAAATGAAATTTAAAATTTGTTGGTGAGAAAAAATTAATTTTATAAGCATCTCATTTTTTTAAGTGAAATAGAAATTTCAAAGTGAAAAATATCAGTAAAAAAGAATTTTGGAATTCCATCCATATTTCAATTTGAAGTGTCATTGGCGTCGCTTTGAAGACTAATTTTTTATAAAATTTATATCAAAAAATATATTTTGCCTAATGACATCATTTACTGCCATCTTTATCGTCCCTGCACTAATGAATACCCTAATATTACTTTTATTATCACTCCTATAGTAATCATAATAATGACACCATTATTATCATTATCATCGTAACTAGTAATTATCATCGAATTGCTGCCATTTTTGTTAATGATCAATCAACCTGAAGATTCTTGGGTGTTAACCTGAATTAGATCAAAAACAAAGTTGGCCGAATTCCCTAAAAATAGGAAAAATTTTTTATAGATGAACAGTTACTCAAACTCAGAATTATTATAAGGTTGCAAAAATTTAGCAAAACTTCAATATTTAACTTATGCTATTTTTAATTGAAATATGAATTGTTTTATATTTTTATATTATTTTTGCGTTACTTTAGCGGCACACTCCTTTGAATTTTTCTCGCTTTTCTCAGTTTTTTCTTTAATGATGAAAAAATTTCAAAAAATTATTCCAGGAAAGTATAATGGCATTACTTTTACTGCAGTTCTTTCAAGAAGTTCTCCTCTTATTTTAAACAATAGAAAGCAATAATTTCTTTAACTCAATTTTTGGATTAAATTTTTTTTTTAATGGAACCTAATTGATTTTTTAGTTAACCTAAATTGACAATATGAAAATAAATGAGAGAAAAAAAAAAACTAATTTCCAACCTTGGCTAAGCTATTTTTTAAAAAATGATTCTAAAAATTCACGTTTCAAACATTTTTTGATGGTTCATCTTATTACTGTTTACGATTCATTTCAGTTGATTTCAAGAGAGAAAGAATATGTCCATAAATTATTTTCAATTATTTTACATTCATATCCTCTGTTAAAGAATAATTGCGGTTTTTAAGCTTGTTTTTTGTTTTCGCTTTTAATTGATGCATATTCTAATTTTTCCAATCTCAAAAGCACTATGCTAGGATCATAGTTTTAACAAATGAATTCTTGGTCATTTCTCTATGCAGTTTTGAGACCTTTTAAACGTCCAGAATTAGACTTAAATTTTCAGTGCATTGCTCTCTGCGTACAATAAGACCTGGCATGACTAATTTCTTTCGCCATCTATTTCCGCTTCTCAATCTTTATTTCCATTACCATCTTCTTGGATGACTGACTAACTGTTGAATAATCGTTTTGCTTCTCATTAGCAGCATTCGATGTTATCGACATATACTTGTAATGGACAAAGAAGGCGACATGCTTTCTCATATGAATGTGATGTGATCAGTATCGAAGACAGTGATAAGTGAGGCAAACCTTCCCATCCTATTAAAAAAATTTAGAGATTTTTATCATATTTCTTCACATTGTTCTGGCACTTTCAAAAACGTTTCTTTTTTTTACTAAATATTTCATTTAATTACAACAATCTTCATTAACGCCTTATCAAGTTTCCCATTAGTTCACATGATGATCACCAATTTGACTGACAGTTTTGTTTTTTACAAGGCTGTAAATTATTTTTTATTCTGTTACTTTCTCTGTCATGACACGCATTTGCCTTTCATTTGTTTTTTATTAATGATCATCTTCCATTTCTCTTCAATCATTGCTTTTCATCCGATTTTAGTGATCATGATATCGATAATGTAGCAAACTTTGCTTTTCAAATCAATCAAGCAACTCTTTTCATAGAATTTTGCTTCGTTATCAAGGAGAGGCAAAATTGCAGTCTTATGCTTGAAGACCTAAGTAACAATGAGCATTGAGTAATGTTACTTTGTGTATTTAAGTCATTGACGATAATATTACAAGTTTTAGGACGTTTGGTAGTTCAAACTCTGATATATTGATATGTATTTCATTCTACTTTTCTTACGTCTTTCCCTCACGTTTCCTTGTAAATCTGTAAAGCAATCTTTCCACTTTTTTTTTTTTTTTAAATCAACAATGGCGTTGTGTATTCCATCGTTTCCTTGACCAACCTATTCTTTCTTTTCAAATATTCCGAAAGACAAAAAGTTGTATTTTCAGGCTGTATTGGTGTAGTAATATTTGCTTACCGTCAGCTTCAGAGTGCACTTCAAAATACTTTCTTCTCTTGTAACAAGAAAAGAGAAAGATAACTATTTATGTTGTGCCACTGATTTTATTAACAGTGGTGACCAAAACGACAGTTCAGTGAAAAGAGAAAGGTAAAAGAGATAGGGGAAATAGAAGATATCAAGTTAATTGCTTGGAGCTTGGAGAAATAAGAAATTTATAAAGCTAAAGATACAAACTCTGAGATATATGTCCTCCATCACGTACATTTATGCAAACTGGCACCTGGCTAGCAGCGATAATGACTTCGCTTCTTGTTATTATCAATAACCATTATTGTATTTCACATACTGCTGATACTAATTCTGGTACAGCTGTTACTAATATCAATATACCATCACCTGTTATTGTCAACGATGAACAGAAAGCGGGCACTTCCTATGACTACCACGGTATGTATGTTACTACTTAATTGTCTCTTGATTTAAGAGAAACAGATGAGCGTATGCTCGATGATATGGATGCGGACAAGTCTCGAATACATTCTCAAACATGAGGGATAAAAAGTTTTAAAATCAATCAACTCGTTGTTAGAACAATCTCTTCGTCATCACATCAAAACAATAGCTGATGTCCCATTTGGTTATCAATACTGAAGTATGCTAATAATTCTTCAGTTTAGATTTGAACTGCATTCTTTTTTAATGATATCAATGCAATTTTTCATTCTTACCTTTCTTTGTGGCAGGTAAATGAGTGTTGAAAATGAGCTCTTTAATTTTCTGAAATATAAGTAAAATTTTATAAAAATTCAGGGCTTTCTGCGTACAATCGTTTGAGACATTCAGAACGGCAACGACGACGATACAAGCAAATGTTGCAACAGAAGCAGAAGCAGCAGTTACAATTACGTCGTTCTGAGGGTAGTGTCAGCGAAAAATTCTTCGATAATTTACGAAGACCACTGAATGTCAATAACAATGATGGTGTAGTAAGAAATAAAATGAAAGCTCACCACAGAGTAAGAACCTTTTTGATCAAAACAGCAAAATGTGAATGACATTCCACTGGCATGGTTTCGAATCATGTGCTTTGCTTTCGTGTTTTTAAAACAATGGGAAAACTGATATCGTATCAGTTATCAAAGAACAAAAATGAATGACCAATTAATTTTCAGTCCGAGAAATTTTAGCTGGAAAAAATTCCTTTGTACTTGAGCACTCTTAAGTTTTACTTTATTTCAAAAAATTATTATCAGTTTTTCTCCTGTTTCAGTTTCCGTCATGAAATATAAAATTTTAGACTCAGCAATAATAGCTGAAATTTCCTACCAACGTATCATTTCTTTTAAAAAAACACAAAATTTCTTAGCCTGCATTCTTTGTTTTCCTCCATCTGCACAGCCAGCCATATTTGCCTTCCTATTGTTAATATTTTTTCCTATTTGTCAAATATATCAGAAACGAGGAGCATATCAATCGCAAATTTGGATGATTCTCTAACTTTTGTTATGTTTCCTTAAATAAAAAGTCGAAAAATTCTCACACTGCTCCTTTTCATCATTTCTAAAAAAAATTATACGAAGAAAATTCCGCTGCATTTTTTGAGGGTAGAAAAGAGAAAGGTAATGACATCATTGAGTGTGCTCACCTCTATACAAAATAAATATTTTATTGAAAAGAAAAAGTTTGAAAAGAAGTTTTTCTCAAAAATTTTATATTAATCGAAAAATGAGTCGTTGAATATTTTGAAGCCTCAGGAAGAAATCGATAATTAAGAAAGCATTTTTACATGTTGAAAGGATTTTTTTGCCATTATCAATCAATTTTCGAAGAGATTTTTAATATATTTGTTAAATCAAATTTAATTTTCAATCATGCTTCGTTCGAGGAGTGAGAAACGATCTTGATAAAAAGTCTATTAGGATAATAAGTTCTGAGAACTCAATCTCATTCTCTTAATCATCTATACATGCAGTTGCATAACAGTTATCTCATTTACAATAAGCAGGTAATCACCGTAAACTTCACAATTTTTGGAATGTTTTTAAAGAAAATTTTGAGAAATTTCTGTATATGTATTCAATTGTCAAATCTGCCGTTGCATATTTTTCCAAAACAAATAAGTTAAAATTCATATTTGAAATACTGTTAGCTAAAGATTTAGTATCAGAACAAGAAATTAATATTTTGAAATAAATAGTCCTCAGAGTTTTTCATATTTCATCCTAAAGCCAGGAAACAAAAACTTGAAAATTTGTATTTGAACAAAGTTGTCAAAGAAGTCAAAAGTATTCTGGCGAACGTTATTACCTTTAAAAAGTTGATGCAATAATAAAATTGGGGACATTTGGAGTCAGAACATATACATTAGCATCAATGGTTATATATATGAATACGTATATATCTGTAAAACTTCTCAATTTGTTTTTTAGGATCTCAAATCAAAACGGGAGAGGAATGAACCATTATGTGAAAGTGACCGTAATACTGTGCATATGAATACTCCAACAGAGGAATATGATCCCCCATTTTTTGTCGAAATACGCTGCAAAAGTATCGCTGATTATGAACAACAACAAGGACGTATACCTATTAGGCTACAGGTATTGCATTTAAAGAAAAATTTTTTTTTAATTGGCGGCCTTATTATAACATTATTTTATAAGATCAAGTAAGTATCACGTCATGGTGGAATATTTGAAATTATTACGTACCCAAAAAACTAATAGACTCGTAGTTTTATTAGTGGAATCTACACATGAATGCATTAACACTGGAATGTGGAAATGTTTCAGGTGAAAATCAAAATTGAGAAGATTACAATTAGACTCGTATTTTACTGTTTCGCCCTATCCCTTGTCTATTTGCAAATAGAATTCGATATTTAGTTTATTTAATTTCACCATTTTAAATACCATGATTAATGAGGAAATATTCAATATTCAAAAAATATACATGTATTGACATGTATTGCAATTAATTTATGATTCTCTTCATTAATTTTTTTGATCTTGAAAGTACACACACTTTTATAACTGGTGAGCGGAATGACTGATAGGAGTTGTAGAATATAATCAATTTGCTCGTTCAAATTTATCATCACATAATCAAGCATGAAATTTTAGGATTGTTTATCATTTGATAAACTCAGTTGTCTGTTAGCCTTTATAATTATATGCCAAACTTGTTTATTTTATTACCACTTCAGAAATTTGACTTTAAAAGAAGCTATTCCAAATTTTTGAGTTTTTCTTATACAGGCAGAAACTCATATAATTTAAAGTGAAACATATTGTCTACAGCGACAACAGGTTGTCAAAAATTAAAAACAGCTTCTTTTTTCAACTGGCAGTAAGTTCTCAAAATATGTTAGAAGACTTTTTTTTTGACCAATTTTTAGTGAATTTAACTGTTGGTTGCCAATGAGAAAGGCAAATTTTTCAAATTTTTTTTTTAAATCAAAAAAATGTTCAATTGTTGACAAGTGATATGATTTAAGGTTAATTTAATAAAAATTTTGCCTTTGTCAAAAAAAATCCAATAGAAAAGTTCAAAATCTACAAATCTGAAAGTAGAAAATTGGAATTTAGGAACTTTAATGTATTTAATAAAAAATCTCGCATTTTAAATAGTGATTTTGCACACTTGTACTTATATTCATTGACTCTTCAATGAATGAAGTGCAAAGCTCATTACTGACATAATGAAATTATTCGACCTGCTCGAATGTTGAATAATTAGATGTTTCCAGTTCAAAATAGTTAAATTTTCAGACGTGTGTGCATGGCATGTTACGCTGCGTGCAAAACTACAAGGATCAACATTTCTCGCGTCGGCGAATTGGCTCTCATAGTTGGCATCCGTATACAATTCCCAATGTGCCCAGTTCGTGTGAATGCATGTGGCCGGTGGATAAGTATGGGCACCAGGAACTCTAATATGCTACTTTCCATCTCTTTCAGTAAGTTATAAGCTGGATAAGTTCTTCTTAGCAATGAGAAATGGCTGAGTTGCTTAAATAGTTTGTTTATACGTTTGAAATTTGAAAAATTATGATAACATAGTGAGAGAAATCGAATAAACAGCAGCACAAGGATTAGTATTTTATCGTCAGATTGATGTCTCGAATTTAATCCAATACCAATAAATCGATTTTTCTTTTCTTTTTTTTTTTCTAAAAAATGACAAACCAATATGATTTGAAACTCTTTGAAAATCCAAAACCTCTAACAAACCAAGTCGAAAAATTAATTTTGTTGTACTGAAATTCAGAATTTTTGTTATCATCAAAATTTTGAAGTAATTTTACTTTCTTGAACAATTAAATATATGAAGAGGAAAGAAAAATAACATCCAAAGCACTTTGAAAATCTGCCATCATTGTTTTTGTCTTCTCTACTTTTCATGACTAAGATAAAAGGACTTTAAAATTGGAAAAAAATTTTTAGTTTATCATCATATTTCATATTAACTAATAGGTTTTTAATTATAGGTTATTGATTATTGGTTCTATAAAAACATAACAAAAGTTAAACTGCGACAACTAAGAAAAGAATAGTTTATACTATAAATTGGAAAAGTTGGTTTCCTCAATGAGTTCCTTGATTGAGTAAATGTGATTTGGTTTCATAATAAAAATATAAAAAGGCTTTGGCAACACCTGTATAGGATTATTGTTAAAATGCAACATGAGAACATCATTTCTGTTTTTTGTCCAACAATTAAATTCGGATTTTATTGAGTCGCGAAACGAAACTGTGAGCACACATTATATTTGAGTAATTTAAATTAAACCCACTCCTTAAACTGAAGAAGTTAATATTGGAAATTGATAATTTTTGACCATAATTATAATTATTAGAATATTTCTTTTAAGGTTTGAAATGTTGGAAAAAAAATTGAAGAAAGTTAGCAGAAAACAGTGCTTCGGATACAGTCAGGAGAGTTATCTATCAGAGTTAGAGTTATCTGTTGTTGAATGTTATGCATATTTTAATGTTCATCTTTATTTTTTATTAAGATAAATCATTTCTTGAAGTTAATGCTTTTCTTTGCGGAATATTCATGGGATACATGTTATTAATATATTAAGTTAGCTTTTGAATTTCTTGTATCTATAAGCTGTATAAGCCAATAATCAATCTAACGTTTAATGAATGTAATGTCTTATTCTAAACCTGTTAGATGGATTAAGAATAATCCTTAAGTGTGAAGCAAAGGTAGATTCAGCCTTCAAGTTCACATTGCTACAAGTGTTTCTGCATAATCAATACGATAATGAAGTCTAAAACTATTTGTTGTATATAAAGTTGTCAGCGCATTTATTTAGATCACAGTCTGCAGTCGCCTTAATGTAATCCTTCGTTGCAGAGGAGTTACGGTAAGAAGTTGACTTTTCACCTATTTAATTGTGATATTCGTCTCAAATGTTAATTTCTGCATGACCATGGCTGGAACAACAAGCTTTCCAATATATAGTAGTATTATTTCTATATCATTTTATCATACTTCTGAGTAATTACTTTACAGCTTTTAATTACTTCAATGCATGCATCTTATTTCTCAGTGTATATATATCATTTAAACGATGACTTCCTTTGTCCTGATTCCTCAATTTTAATTTCTTCTATACCAGAATGATTAAAAAATTGTTAAGAACCTTCGGAGAAAAGACAGGATGAAACTAACAATTTATGCATAAATGGCTGTTATTCCATGTTCGCTGTTATTCCAAAATAAAAAAAAAAAAAAAAAAAAATAAAGAAATATAATTTCGTATCTGCTGAATCAAGTTTGATGTCATAATAATAATAACAGTAAGTTGGTATCATAATAGTAAGACTCAAACAATCCATTACCAATACTTACACTGTTTTCCGTACTATCACTTCATTTCGTTAAGATTTTTTATTTGGTATTCAAATATTATAACTGTATAATTCTGCAAGTTAAAAATGTTATTAGTAATGATTGAAAATGGAAATGTTTATTTTTAAAATGGGAATATTATTTTATAAAAAGTTGCTCCTTTGTTATTCCTATTTTCTCTTATGGAAATTTCCTGAAATTTGCAAAAAAAGTAATGAAATTTGAGTTCAAAATTTCTGTACGGAATAATAAATCTAAAAAAGGAAGCATGAATTGTTGTTGAATAGGATGTGTCAGGACGAAAGAGTCAAGTTTTGTTAAGTGAGGAATAGAGAGAAAAAGGAGACAGTCAAATCTAAAGATGCAGGATATAACATTTCAAAAACCGACGAAAACATAAAAAATCTTTAGCTTTTAATTTATGAAAAATTATTCCATTGACGATTTCTTTGTTGACACACTGGAATATAAACTTCAGCGTCCGGAAACTTTAATCATTAATCAAAAAAAAAAACGAGAATAAGTAAAAAAGCATAAATACTGCCCCTGATTGTATAATAGTATTCTGTCTCTTTTATCCTATGCTTTTGTTCCTTGCAATTTTTCTTAAATATTTCCATGTGAAGAAATGATTTGTTTCGGTGCTTTTCTATTATTCCTATGCAACTTTTATTGTTTGCAATGTAATAAATGGGTAAATAAATAATTTGCATGCCTAGAAATCACCAGAACATCTATTACGAGAAAACAGATAAATTATGATGGTATACGTAAAAGCAAGATAATCTAATCTTCCTCGAAAAAAGAAGTTGTAAAACGATGAATTCCTCAATATGCTAATGATTTTGCTTAAATACTTCCGCAAAATTAATAAATTCAACTTCAATTCTGCATATACCAGGTGACCAACAAATTAAAGAAAATTGAAAAAATGTCTACTAAGGGGGTATTTTGTATTTTCCACTTTTGTCATTATTGATTGCTTTCAGCAGTTTCGCATCTGCATCTAGGTCAATCCGTGATAATTCTCGAAAAGCTTCATCACCAACAAAACAAATCTCATGGTCATTCTAAAAAAGCTTTTTTAAAAACGATCGCGTTAATCAAATGTTTAAAAAAATATATAGGCTCAAAAATTTTGGTTATAATTATGAAATAAAAAGTTATGTAATGCAAGAAATTACTACTTACTGGGTCAGCAAGAATGATAACCTGAACGGCTGCCTTATCGGGAGTATCTAGCTTTATTAAAGGAGTCAAAACCTTTTGCATCGTTTCCTCCATCTTCTTTTGTATCGGTTCTAACTGAAAGTGTAATTGCATTTTTCGACTGTTGATGAAAATACATAATGTAATGAAAGACCTAGGGCCTTTGTAAAAAAGGTTTAGATTTTCGAAGATGGCCTACTTCTTTCACCGGAACAGCAAAAGCTATCCTACCAAAACCGGTACAGCGATCGATTCTAGCATTAATGAGGTTCCATTCCAATTCGAACTGAAAATACAGCGACTAGGAGGAATCAGAGCTTATGACATAAGGAAAATACGAAAATACAAGTTTTCCTCGTGCTTTAATAAATCAATATTCAGTCAAAGTGTAACAGCACTTATGATAACTGTGGCAAAAACAAAGAAGTAAAACCTTTTTTTTTTCGCTAATTGACGTAATAAAACAGTTTTCATTGTGTTTGATCGTGGTAAAATTCAGTAATTTAGTCCAGTAATCTATAAAATTTATGGAAACTAACATAAGACAAGGAGAAAATGTAAACAAAAATAAGAAAAGTTGGAAAGTAAGTTTTGAAGTAAAGAAATGATAATTATTTATTTATCTATCTATCTATCTATCTATCTATCTATCTATCTATCTATCTATCTATCTATCTATCTATCTATCTATCTATCTATCTATCTATCTATCTATCTATCTATCTATCTATCTATCTATCTATCTATCTATCTATCTATCTATCTATCTATCTATCTATCTATCTATCTATCTATCTATCTATCTATCTATCTATCTATCTATCTATCTATCTATCTATCTAAGGTATGCCGTCATTAATAATATATAAATGCATTTAATTAAAATGACATCTATATGCTTCTTAAAACAAATACAAAAAATACTCGAAAATTAGCCACTAACTGATTAACCAATTACATCAAATGAATTCACATCATTTGGGAGAAATAAACGAACCTACGGTTTTGTTTAAGTCAGGTGTATTTAATTTCACTTTATAAATCGAATCTGCATTAGCTGATTCAGGATCATGTTGCAAAATGTAAAATTTATGTCCATCAGGATCCTCAACTTCCACTTCCCCATTCGCCATAATGACAGCCATCGGGTAATTTTTGCAATTTTCAAATACATCCGTTGATTGAATACAGATCCCCTGATATTATTCCAGAAATAAAAAATGATAATAAGACACAATAAAGATCACACTAAAGTTAATCTGCTTCAACGTACAGAATTCGCTTTGATCTTCCCTCAATAATTTAAATACATCAGCTGAGTTAGGTTATGGTTCCATCACAAACTTACTCCAAAATCATTACCCAACTTGTATGAACTGACTGCATAGTTATACGTTAATTCCAGTACGAAATGATCATCTTCGCTTCCATAACCGACCATCGTTTTACTCCACCTACCGGCATATGGTCTATAAAGAAACACTCACCCTATTTTTATCGAACAGGGAATAAAATATTGCAATCAACAGGAACAAAATGAAATGAAAAAAATGAAAAAAGCAAAACAAACAGTCAACTGAAAATCAAACTAGGAAATGAAAAAATGGGATAAACACAAGAACGAACCCATTACACGTAGCTTTACAACCTTCCTCAAATTCTTCATGTCGTAGAACCTTAAATATCTTTCTTGTTCTCATAATAGGGAAACTTCAATTATACTATCTTTTTAAAACCACTAAGATGAAATCAAGTTAGAGTGAAATTTTATAAAAAACAAAAGATGTTTAGCAGGAATACTAAATTGAAGAAAAGATATGCTAAGAAAAACAAAAAAACAAAAGTATTTCTTTCCACTTGAGCTATTACTAAATTTACTTAATTAGCTATCAAATTCAACCAGAAATAGCAAAAATTACCTTCATTTTTAGAATATTGACGAAAAAATCACGGCTTGTTTTCCGATTAGTAATTTTGAACACGTAATGTAGTGCACGTGTCATTGTAAATATAAGCTAACCAAATTTCAAGCTAAAAAGTAATCGGCAAACACGTCATAAAAAAAGAAAACAACTTGAATAAATATACTGCATGCAACTTTGATAAAACAGAAATAAGACTTGAGGAATTTCTCTCGATTACTTTGGACAAAGCCTGCATAATTTAAACATACACCCTACGGTGTACAACAAACTCATCCACAAAGAACTTTTATGAAGAAAAAATAAAAGAATGGAACTTTCTTGCTGGAAGACAAAATTATAAAGTAATTCTTCACAGACTCAAAGTGATCAAAGATTTGTTTCTAATCCACTAACCGGTATAGTTTCATTTCCTGTTGTCTTTTCTGAAAAGCACCTACGAAAGAAATTTTAAATTCCAGAATGAAACTTAATTTCTCTCAAAGAACGGAAATATTGTTTAAAAAGCTTTCTTAAGATTCACATTTACTGAGAAAATTTCAGAGAACTGCCAAGATTTTGCAGTAAAACAGAGAAAAAAAATAAAAGCTCGAAGTATATAGTTTTGTATGGTATATACCGTTAGTATATAACATAAAAAGATAGGAATGGGGTCTTATTTACGATTAAAAGCAGGCGGTTCTGTTTTTAGGATAAAATTACCGTTTATCAACCATCAGTAAACATATTTTTTCATCAAAGCAACCTACCCTGTTTTGGAGAATAAATCTCCATTTGGATTTTCAAAGTTACCGCTGCGGGTTTATAATTTTTTTTCTGAGATTTATAAAATAATGTTTGATGCTTTCTGCGAACAGTCATGACAATAATTATGATGTTGAAGATATTCGATGAAGATTTTATAAGCCAACATCGTTTTTCATAATTCATGAAAAATACATGGTTAACATGGGAAATCTACTAAGATGAGTATAGATTCATCACTAGATATCCAACCCAACACTTTTATTCTTCGCAAACAGTCATCTTTTCTTCATTATCGCCATTCACTTCAAAATTCGATCTTACAATCTGCACTTTATCTCCTCCTCTTTTTGGACGCCAAAATACTTGATAATATGGGTTGTTTGGAACTTTGAAACAAGTCCTTATCTGTTCTCTGTTTAAAACGTACATAAGAAATGCAAATTCCAGAAAATCGACAAAAAACTCATGACAAACCTAACAAACCCTTCGATGAGCCATGCTGCATTTCAGTTGATATAAAAAATGTTTTTTTTAACATCATTGAAAATAAATCCTACAATTGGAACAATTTATATATTCTGAAAACCAAAACATGAAGCAGTGAGAACAGAGGCTCTCGACTTATCTTGCATAGCTCTGAAAGAAAGGGAAAAAAAGTCAAGAGACAAAGACACAGACACACAACTGTAATCTAAGGAATCTATGGCATAAAAATTTTCATGATCAATAAAATTCTAACTTCTGTCTATCACAAATGCACTTATTTTGTCTACCACAGAGCACTTATTTTGTTTACCACAGAGCACTTATTTCATTTTCAGAGATGAAAATAGTATAAAACAAAACGTTCTCAGCTAGAAAAAAAATTACAGTTCCGGTTCTGAATCCTTACTGCAACATAAGAAATGAAGCAGGCATAATTCGGTCTCAGTCACCTCATTAGGTATCATTTCAGTGTTACCGATATCATACTTTAAAGATCAAGGAATTTGTAAAAATACTTCAGAAGTTGTAAAGAAACTACCGCAGTGATTTTTCGACTCCATATGTGTAAAAACCAATTCCCTTTCGGATTATATTTTATTCGCGCCTTCAATGTGAAATGAATATAAAATTAATAATTTTTTGCGCTTCTACCAAGTAACTAATAAAAAATATCTACCGGAAGAAAATTTATATCGTTATTTTAACAGTTTTTTCAACAGCTCTGCATACCATTTGATCAGCTACATCTGGTTTGATCATGGATTTTTTGCCCGGCACTGTTTGAAAATTTCGTTAAAACTCTGGCATAAGCTGAGGTCATTCTGCGTCTCCGTACTGAAAGCGCAAGATAAAATACTGTTCAAATTTTAAATCCAAAACTGGAATTTCTTCGTAATCAGAGAATCTCTGCAGAAAAAAAATCACTGTACTGACAGTTCCCAAAGAATTGCAGTATAAAAAAGCATGGATCTTGACATGTTTACTGAATACTTTGTCCAGAAATAACATCTTGTGTTAAATAACTAAAAAAAGCGTGAAGGAACCATATAATAACTAATGCGCTCTTAATCACAGTAAAGTGCTAGATATAACATTCCCCAGAGAATTTTAAAAAAGTTTAAATAAGACACATGATTTCTGAAAAGAGCACTCTCTGCCCAACAGTTCGCTGAAACTATTTAATACAAAAGAGCTTTGTGAATTTGATATAACCCAAAAGTTAACCATTCCATAAATTGTTTCCACTCAAATTCACATGGACTTCTGTACTGCTGCTGTTGTTCTATTTGCTGTTTTCCAGAAAGCGCAATTTCATCGTTATTTCCATGACCACCACCGCTCCCAGTTAATATGTTCCCAACTGCATGACCCTGAAAAATACATAAATGGTTGTCCTTTAAATTACTGATTTGTATTCATCAAATTTCATGGTTTTACCAAATTTCAAAGTTTGACAAAAACTTAATGAATGATTATATAAGTTATAACTAAATCTTTCCATTATGATGAAGTATATATGAAGATGTGAACTTCCTAGCCCCCAATATAGAGATGGAATTAATCATCACGGTATTAATAACTTACAACTGCTGAACCGATTGCAACACCGCCAGCCGTTGCAGCCATTTGCCCCATCAATCCAGGGCCACGCGATGCAGGTGCCATACCGAAATGTGCAGGTGCTGCTGCACCCGGTGTCGTCGGTGAATAGGTCTGCATCGGTATTGGTGAAGAACGTGCAGACATCGGCGACGATGTACGACGATGTACCGGCGGAGACGGCTTCGGTGAAGCCATACGACGACGAACCATTTCTTCAACTTAATTACTCAATAAATTAGATTGAGCAACGAGCCGTTAGACCCATACGACGAAATACAATTAATCCTAACACTTTCATATGAAAATGAGTAGCCACCACAATATGAGCTGTTTCTGTCACAACAGCCAATGCTCACCCTGTGCTAGCCAATCCCGAGAATAACACGTGTTCACAGATACACGTGTCCACCAGCACTAATCATCACCACCCAGACACAACGCAACCCACACATCTCGCACTAACAGTATAATTTGCTGACTCATTCATGTTCAGGAAACTACTCTCAGATATCAGACAAGTGTAGCAGCACTATTACTCATTTTTCCCAATCAAGAACAATTGGTTATCACACAGTTTTTTGTGAAATTTAGATATATTGTATTCCTGTGATGACGGGAATATCGTGACTATATAAACTGAGCATTCTCGTTTTCATTTTATATTTGTCGTGTGTGTTTCTGTTGTTATGGCTGTCCGGTTTTATTACATAAATATTCGCATATATTACGATTCTCCAGGTGAATTTGTGAGTTCTTCTTATAAGGCATATAGTGATCAAATATTTACAACTCATAAACCCATTTTTGAGGAGGACATCCAAAATACATTTAGTACAGCACTGAGCAAGTAAAATCTTAAGCCTGAAAATAAAAAAGGCATCGAGCGCATTACTGATTTCATATGCTATTCTAGATCAGATATTCCAAACGCATATCTTCCTTTGCTTTAACCTATTCAAAGTTCTAATAAGATATGAATGTTGTTACTCCTTTACAATTATACGGAAAGCCAGATGTAGAACACAGGAATATGGTAGCTATATCTTAATGTAGTACAGTTATTTCATTTGAAAAGATACTTCAAATCTCAATGCTTGGCTCTCCGTCATCGCTTTTCAACCTTTTTTGCAAAGATCTTAGTTACATATGATGGGAGAGTAAATCATGGATATATGGAATTCATGCCCTTGCTTCCAGTAGTTGTGAAAAATTCCCTCATTACCTCAGTCATTGGGCTGGATTCTGAATTAATACCCAAATCTTGTAGCTGTATCCTTATGAATTTAGAAACAAGTCAGCTCCCTAAAATTGTTCTAATGTAACATATATTTTATTCTGCCGCCCAACATATGCCGAATGTCCACTTTAACTCTGCTGACACAGTTTAACTTTATTAGATCTGTGTGAATTATGTTTGTGATTTATATCTGTATTTTTTGCTCTGAAATACATTATTATCCAAGGTTTTGAAACTTTTTAAAGATGTAGAATGTAGAACATATAAACCAAAGAAGCACATTTATCAAAGTATTGGTATATTAAATTAATAAACCAAAGAAGATAAATCAAATGAACAATTTCAACCATTCATTACTGAAATAATTTGATTTAGTAAAAAATATAGTAGAGTCCAGAATTTCCTTGAACTTCTTAGTAAAACATTAAAGATTGAGACTGCGCAACTAGATACCTCCAAAATCTGCATTTTACATACTTATGCAGTTTATGCGTTTGAACACTGTGAGTACCAAAAACATTTTAATTACCATTTGAAATAAAAGTCTTCCAGTCGAATTCTACATTCCCCTAATTTTGGTCCCTTTCTCTTTGCAAGAACAAGACGTCCTTTACTCTATCTACACCTCCCGTTCATCGAATTTGCAAAATATCGAGAACATTTTAAATTTTTTCCTTGCGCATTCATTTTCTATTATATATTCTAAAGGAAGTGACTTCTTTATGTTTTTCATATATAAATTCAGTTCAAATCAAAATTACACATTCAAAGACTCATGCAGAACTTAGTCAAATTACCAGATCATTTGGTAAAAATAAGCATTCAAAAACAGTTACAAATGAAATTTCTGCAAAGAATCGAGAATATCAAGATACAATCTGACATCAGCACTCAACAACTTCATTTCTTCAACCACCGACAAGTCTCCCTCATTTTCTGCGGATGCAAACTGCATATCAAGCATTTCATTATATTTTTTAACTGCTACCAACATCTGAAATGACCATTTACAACCTAACTGTAGAAAGCACCAGAAAATTTTAGCCTAATCAATTCACTTTGTAAGAGATATTTTAGCAATTATTAGATAAACAAAACAGATCTTTACAAAAAGAAATTGGACAGTCGAGTAAAGCAATTACTTTTCCAATACCAGCTATTTTTTCGTTAAATCCAACAAACTCCTCACGCAATTCCTGCACGACTTTATGTTGCTGTTGTCCAACACTGTCTAACAAATTCTGAAAAGCAGAAATTATGAAATGGAAAAATATTTTTATCACCGGAAACATATGAAAAATATTAAATGAAAATTCTGCAAAAACTTTCGATGGATGTAGATATAAAATGATTTATGAAACAGTGCAGTAAGATTAATAATTAAAAATATAATACTTTACATTTTGAACCTTGAATATTCTCGAACTGTGTTCTTACTCAATTTTAGAAAAACACATCTCAAGCCTACTCCAAAAAACAAAACAGGAGACACAACGATAGCCAACAGGAATCTATAACCTATGCAAGCACTTGAAATGTGCTTACATATTGTCACAGATCTCAAATTACCGAGTTGAATTGCCATTATGCTGTCTTTAAGTTCCTTACAATGGCTGAAATTACCCCGATTCTTTGCTTTTCGAAACTGCGCAATACATCAATTTCAATTAGCGATATCGCACTCTGCAACAGTGTTGTAGCAGCTGCCTCTTGTTCTTTTGCTTCCCTTCCCAAACGTCTGATAACATAATCTAATCTGACAAGTGCTTCTTGAGCCTCAAATTAAAAAAGTTTTGAAATCTGAAACCGCTCGAACAATGAAAATTATGCTCATGCTTTACTCGTTTATAAGTAAAGAGCTCGGAACGTGAATGAAATCAAAAAAGAAGCTAAATTTTACTTTGTTAACAAAACTTGTTTGAAAGTGCGCAAAAAACCATATGCTTAAGTGAAAAAAGAACTTTTTGAAAATCAAGTTAGAATAAGCTTACATATTCCATTTTTGCTCCGCTTCATATTGTGGTGGGGAATTAACAGTGCTATTTTACAACAGATTTTAAATATTAAAATGAGAACCTCAACTCACATTTCAATGCATTACAGACAACTTTTCAGAGTTTTTCCTTTTTTTTTTTTTTTTTTTTTTTTTTGTATTTATAACGCTAAGGAATAACCTTGGGAGGAAGTGACTTTTTTTATTAATTAGTAAGCCATAATGGGAACGAATTTAAATAACTTTAAAAATTACACATAAAAAAGAAAAAAGTACATTATTAATCTAATACCTCACATAAACGTACAATTTGTTCGTTGTGTCTGTTTTTCTTCGCACGAAGCTCTGCAAGCTGCACTGAAGGAATGCGTTTTCTGTGCACATCAACAACTGACTTTTGTTTCCGCGGCTTCAAAAAATAGAATTTTTTTTTTTTTTTTTTTTTGAGCAATTGCATATATTGTACTTAATTATTTTGGAACAGTCAACTCAAGTACTCCTGCATTTATTTATCAACAAAATAACATTGTGTGAACCAACGCCCATTTGTGATGATCTCTAAAATGACTGAGAGGTACAACAGAATGAAACATGCTATAAAATAGAAAGAACAATTTCCTGAAATGCAGAAACATACCTTTGAAATACTTTGATTAAAAGTTTGTTGTTGTTTTGGTAGATTGCATTTGAAGGATGGTAATTTCGGAGTTGCGAAAGTAACATGCTGCAGTATACATACATTTTTTCAGTTAGAAGTAACCCATTCGTAAAGACTTCTTATTATTCATGCACATGAGCTCATTCAAAACTGCTAGGCTTTTATGGGCAAAAAAAATTTGCCCGTAATACTTATTCCCCCATATCCTTCGTGGAAATGAACTATCCTTCATTAGAAATTCGAGGAGAATCTCAAAATGATGTTTTATATGAAAAATATATGCAGAGCCAAGAAAATCAAGAAAGAGTGATTATTTTCGAAAAGTGAATTTTAACAGCACATCTATATGTTTTCATCAAAAGGTGGCAGTATCATTTTTTAAAATCAATTTACATAGATTAATCAAAGAATGGTCAAAAAAACTAATCAGAGTTAAAGACATACTCGCTTATCATCCGATTCTTTAGATCGAGCTTGAGCCTGTGTTGACTGTCTCTTAAGTGACGGCCGTAGAACTGCTGTCTCACTTGGTTTGGTTGACATCAGTAATCGAATTGCCTGAAAGGAACAAAGCCTGTAATATTTAAATATGGAATTAAACATCTTCTCTCCTTATAATTCGAAGTTGTTAACATACAACACCAATAAATGCACCGATAAGCATATGAGTGACAACATCTATCTGACAATATCCATCGCAATCAGACGATACCATATATTTACTTGTTCTCCTACTGGTGCTATTGTACGTCTAACACTCTTAAATGAGAGTTAATTGCACGACATAAGTCTAACTTCCCCTTCCCTTAGGAAGCGACATAGTTTGATTGTGGAATATGATTATTTTGCTATGGGAACTCACAGATTTTACTGAAAAGTGACTTTGTGTCGTGAACAATTAATTTACTAAATTCTCCAAAATAGTGAAAAATGTGAAGGCAAAAACCTCGTTGTCATTCTTACCCACCCATTATTTTATGTTTACGCGACTTCTCTAAAAATCATGTCCCACACTGTTCAATGAAACAAAAAGTCACGTAGACACTATTGGTCACAGCAACAATTTTCCCTTTGGGCTTTCTCAAGCAAGTAATTCCTTCGCGGCCCGATTCTTTTTCCCGGGCTTCCTCAAACTCTGCGGATTGACAGACAACAGCTATTTATTGATTATCATAACACTATAAACAGGAAAGATTTGATATAAAAGAACAAACAACAAAGGAAGTAATATCAGATTGGGCATATTCGCTTTCTGTTACACTCCTCTTTTCAAGATCTCTTTGAGGTGCCACAGAAATTCAACAGCTGTAGATGATGAGTATTGTCGTTCAATTCTGATGTGAACAAACAAGCCTCTAAGATTTCTTACCAATTCAAATGCGATGGCAGATTCACTCGTAGTGGTCGGTTAGAATGTTTAACAGCTAAACTATTATAAGAGATCCGTATACTTAGGCTTGATTTCGTGAGTAACTTAAGTTCAATTTTTCAAGATATTGTCCAAAGAAATACAACATGCTGAATAACGAAAGATTTCCATAATAACCCAGTGACACGAAAGTTACTTTTCACTTGATTTAGAACAATTTTTAATTTTAAGAGCTTTTGGAAGGAAATATTAATTTTCCGTTCCTTTTTCCTGATTTCTAAGAGATGCTTGATACTCCTGTACTGCTCGAAACAACAAATCTTCAGTCTTTTCCCTTCGCCAATCTCTCACCTGTAATTGACTTGTTTCGTTTGTTTTCAAGCTTTGAAGTGATTTCCAAAAAAATCGCTTTAATCACATCCTATAACTTCGGTGAACTTCTGTCTAACTAACAAGAAGAAAATCAGGCCATGGAACTTACTGTCTTATTTTTCTGAGAGAAATCTTGCGTGGGAAAATCGATATTTTCTGAAGTTTCTTTTGAATGACTCAAAACTAGAAATAGAGTATGTTATAAAAAGACAGTCAGATCAAAAAAGAAAATTCAGACCACGCTAGAAATGAAGAAATTTTAAAATATTAATCTGTATTTTTCGAGAGAAATTTATTCTCATTAAGTTCATTGAACAAGAATTAAAGGCAGAATTCTAAGTGAAGATCATAATTATTGACCAAAATCATAACTTTCTTTAAACCTTAATTTTACTTCCTGTAATGTTAAAAATTTTTTTAAGGTAAATCGTGCTAAGCTTGCAATATCCTTACAGGTACATCTTTGATTGTTTGAGCATATTTTATATCGGTACTTCTTTTTCAATCGACATTCGTACAATAATCTTTTCTTGTTACAGATCACACCTCTGAAAGTGGGGTCAGTGAGGACAAAAGATCACTTTAGTGTCACATTACCTTTGACTGATTACAAGTTAGTGATATGCGTCATTGACCTGAATGAACTTCACGCTATCTATATTTTGCAGATCCAATTACAATAACTACAAAATTTCTAGGCGTTCTTAAGAGGTCGCATAAATCGATACATATCGCTTGCTTCTCAAAAAAAAAAAAAAAAAAAAAAAACACTCAGGAACTAAGGATAACCAAAAAGTTTTAAATAATTTCAAAAGAAATTGTATTAGAAATCCCTGATACAAAATTTCTGAGAGCAATTTAGCAAATTATCATCAAAATATCAATCCTTAAAAAACTTAAAACTTGCGTTGTATTTATTTTTGCAGCCTTGTCTTCAGCTGAGATATTATCCATATTAGGAAATTTCCTTTGAGAGCCATGGCGATAATGTGAGCACTTTTTGCGCTTCTGCTGAAGCAGTCGAACTTCCTCAACATGTTGTTCTCCAGCTTCACCTTTCCCATTTCTTTCCATACTAGGAATAAATTCAGCAAAATCTTTTACAGTTCCTGTGTTTCCAACACTTGATTCATGTGTATCTTTATTATCCTTCGAATCTGCTGCAGGGTGTGCCATCATACCCAGCGCTGTGGATGTTTGATTTATTTTGTCAGACTCAATTTCAACAGCTGCTTTTGAGTTTAATTCCATTATTGTTGTATGTGTTGAGAAATTAGAATTTATTGTTGCTGAAGTGGATGTTTTCGGAGATGATGGTAAAGTTACAGGTATTTTCGGAGCTGTAGATGAGGTTACAGGAGTTTGTGAGATTTGCGAAGTCGTATCGTTTTTTTTTAATTTGAGTAAGGATTTCGTGATTTTTTGAAAATCTTTTTTCCCCTGATTTTCGGACTCCATAGCTTTAAATGTTTGATCCATTTCCGAAAACGTTGCATTCAACATACCACTTAAAACTTGATCAAAAAATTCATCTTCCTTACTATTATTTGTTTCATATTTGGTATTTATAACTTGCAATTGCTCTTGTTCGGAAGACGAGTTTTGTGATTTTGTGAGCTGGAAATCAGTTATTTGTGACCGTGAATATATTTCTTGGCCGTGTTTGTTGGTGACATTTTCTTCTATGAAAAACATTGAATTTGCTTCCAGAATTTTATAGTCATTAGACTCGTTACCTATCAGCCTGAACTCATTCACTGACTTGTTTCCTTCCAGGTACTCTGCTTTGTGTGATGATAACTTTTTCCTTTTTGTTTTGGCAGTGATTTTTTCAAGCCCTGTAAAATCTGATCCATAATGAATTTGTTTCTCATGATTCTCCGTCAATTGAGAGTGAAGAGGTTGAAAAGTGAATTTATCATGTTTGTTTGTGAATTCGTGCTTTGACTGATTGGAATTTATGCGTTTTGTAGAGATTCCTTCATTAAATTCTTCATCGTCTTCAGAATCAGGAATCACTTTAACAGATTCATCATCGACAGATACTTTATGGCTGACAGTTATTATTTCATATTCCAATGAATCAGTTATATTCGAAGGTTTGTCTTGTTTCTTTTGATTTCTGGATTCCTCCTTAGATTCGGGAGATAATTTTGCTCTTTTAACTTTCTGAAGCGGTGTAGTACTACTAGTTCCATTTGATGTTTGTGCTTGTGTATTGCACTTAAGTCGTTTCACCGAGTGTTCCGAAGAATCCTCCGAATCAAAAGAATCCGTCTGATTGTTTAATAAGCAGCCATCTTCATCCATATCTTCTAGTTTTTGTTTCTTTTCTACTGCATTGTGAAAATTGCGTCTATCAAGTGAACCGTTACTTTGATAATTTATCATTTTTACCTTTTTTCCAGTTCCTTTTTCATCAAATTGCAAAAAGGGTGCATCAAACAATCCGCTAAATTTTTTTACTGCTGCTATTTTATATTTTGACGAGTCAATAGGCGTATGAACGACAAAATCTTTTTCATTTCTGATCTTTTCGTAAATAGCATCGTCCAGATCTCTCTGAATTTTCAATTTTGTAGTAGTTGTCAGAGCCGAAATCGAATTTTCGGGAACATTTGCTATTTTTTTGGTCTCATTTGCTTCAGTATTTGAGGTGTTGTCCGCAGTCTGACTCCAATGCTTAGTAATATTGATGCCTCTGAGAGGACTTTTCAAATCTTCTTTTTGTTTTACATTGTTTTCTTTAATTGCTTTGGATATCTTTTTGATGCTATTTTGCAGGAAATTAAAAAATTTCTCAAATTTTTTGATATAGGCAGCATTTGGACTGTTAATAAATACTTTATTCTCATTTCGAACACCATTCTCATCGATTCTGATTGAATTGGCTTTCAGTTGATCTTCATTTTTAGCTGATGTAAATTTACGATCTCTTTGCACCATTGTTCGTATAAGCGGTGAGGTATTCTCAACAGAAACCGAATATTCTTCACTTTTTTTGGTGTTATCGGTTTCAATCACATCTCTGTATTCTGGTCTTTTGCTATTAGAGAACATTTCGGAAATCGATTTGGTTCCACTGGAAGGAAATTTTTGATATTCTTTTTTGGATTTTATAAATTTCGGTACTGAGGTAACTATTGTACTGAAATAAATACTGCTTGCGTTAATTGCAGTAAGTTCTTTGATACTTGGATGTGACTCATCGCTAACCGTTAGCTTCTTGTCGGATTCCTGATCTAAAGGTGTTAAAATTATGATTAGTCTTGATCTTATACAAAAAAGGTAAGTACGAGTAGTAAGAAATGCTTTCTTGGATAATCTTAAACAGAAGCTACTCTTCAAAAAAAAAAAAGTTTTCATGATAACAAAAGAATGAAGTCAGCTACGAGCAAGACAATATGACCTGAACGGCGTTTTCTTTGCCTGGTTGGTTGCTGATTATACGTTTTTTTAGGAAGCCTGAAAATGATCAAAGTCGGCAGAGATGTTGTGGCATTTACAGTTGTAGAATATTGTTGTTCAAAATTATTTTGTATCGTTTGAAGACGAATTTCATCAGCAATTAAGTTTTGCAACGATACAAATTCGATTGGATCGATGTGAGCATTCTGAAATAAATGTTTCATGAAGGAAAACAATTAGGAAAATTTTCACTAGGAATAAATCCGTTTGGAAATTCACTCTTCCATCTTAATTTTCTTATTATTCAAAACTACCTTATTGACGTCCACTTTGCCGAAAATCTTTTTTAAAGTAGATTTTTTTAATTGCTTCTCATATCCTTGCAATAATTCACTGAACGATACTGCTTCATCACCATTCTGGTCGATATTCTGAATAACCTACTTTTAGTGGCCAAAATAAGCAAACTTAATATTCCTAACATGAATTTTAAATCAATTGTAGAGAAATGTTAAATAATTTCTTGACGGCAATTTTCTTTGTATTTCTTGATATTTCTTAGGAGTTATCCTCAATTCAAATGATACCGAAAGAAAATACTTATCTTATTATCAGTAAGCCTGATTGGAGTAGAAAAACTAACAGATAGTTTGTTCAACGCAGCAACAGCAGCTTGTTCTCGTAATTTAGTGAGAAAATCGATTAATTCTAATTCATTTATCTGAAAATAGTTGTTGATAACAGCATGTGTAACATGTCATTTTTATATGTTTCGAATTTTCAGTTATCTGGAGCACATCAAGTTTCGGGTCAAAATTTCTGCAAATTTCAGTTAAAATTTGAAAGGACAACCGTGTGATCAGTTCGATGGCTGACATTCTCAAAAACAGTTGTTGCATAGCCGGGTTCAATATCGTAACGTAAGTCAGCCAACATTTGCGCTTCTCGAATATTCAGTCGGTGGTCTCCATCAGTGTCATAGATCTGAATCAAAGTAAGAAATGCTGAATTTGAATATTTATGAAACTACTGCGCAATCTTTTCAAATTTGCACAGCTTTTTAAACGAATTAGATAAGAAATGAGAGTTTTTTTTTTTTTTCAGCATTCCAGTTAGGACAACCTCTTTTTGCTCAGGAATTGTTTGTTTAGTTGAGTTAAAAATTCGAGATAAATTATCTTTCATAACTCATAAGTTATTTTTTCATACTTCGAAAATCTTTTTTCTATAGAAATTTGTTCTATATCTGCCTCTTCTAGGTTCTATTTTGGAGATACCATCAACAAAATCTAATCGACAAACCTTCAGCAATTCTTTTGCCTCTTTCTGCGCTAATAATCTACTACAGTGAAGCGTTTCAACCAATTCACTGGATGTCAAATATTTATCATTATTGACATCACTTTCCCAAAAACAACTTTTCACATCTTTTATTGACAAACCAAGCTCCATGTAAATAGATTCGAATAGTTCCACTTCGCTCAGTAGACCATCACCATCTGTATCGTGATCCTGAATGTTTAACAAATGAGAATCAGTGCAACATATCTGATAGACATCCACAGATTTGATACCATATTCATGAATTCTAAGTTGAACACCATTTGGTATGTTTTTGAAAAAATCAAAACAAACTTCTACCTTGGATTACCTTCAATTAAAAAAAAAAAATCACCTCTAGCCAACGTAAAGTGGCTAGTGCAACGTGTCTTTGAACTAATCTAGCGGCTGCAATAATTTCGGTGTGATCAATGAACTTATCGCCATTTCGATCCGCTTTTCGGAATATATCCTAAAGAAAGGAGGATTTAAAAGTGCCAAAGAAATGAACCTGAACTCATTCTATTCTAAGTTCTAAGTAGATGAGTTATAAAAAAAAAACCATAAAATTGCTTTCTAAAAATATAAAGGTAATAATGAGTAGTGAGAAAATTGAGATTCCTTGGAAATGAAGATAACTTTTGTTTATCTAAGAATGATCAAGATATTACATCACTGATTGTCGGTGGAAGCTTGTGGTCCATATATGCTACTGTCCTCAGTTCTCGTCTGTCAATTTTCCCATCTTTCGTCAAATCATAATGAGTTATATATTGATTTACTTAAAACAAAATTTAGATTTGATTTTTAATGGAAATGAGTGAATGCGAAAAGACAGCAATGAAAAAGAATAGAGCATAGTGTACTCGATTTACGATGAAATATTAGTAAAAAGTAGGGAATGTAATTCCCGTTATACAAATTAGTTGAATTTATTCTCACCTATACCAACGGTAGTAGGGCTGAATAAGATGATTGCGATAAATAATATCCATGGTCGAGACATGTGTATATCTGGAAAGAAGTGAATTGTGTGCATACATATTCCAAATAATTTCGGGTTATCCTTGGTTTATCACAACTGAGATCATTGAGCATTATCTATTTTGCCTTCATCTCATTTCTGGAATATGTACACCCGAAGGGTCACTTGCTAAATCTACTGACTGGTTTAGAAGAAGGTTTAGATAGATATGCACGATAGCTTAATTTCTTCCTTAATTTACTCTTTCGTGAGACGGCAAAATTATGTTCCTTACAAATGAATTCTTCTATATTTCAGAAGAAAATTTCAAATTTCAAGTTTGAATGAGATGATCACAGCAATGTTAGCAAAATTCTAAAAAAGTTGAAGTAGCTGTCATTTTGACGAGGCAAAATGATGAAAAAATGTGGGACGACTGTCGACAAATCCGACATACTCAGACGAGCCCAGTTTCCAGTCCCATTTACCCATATGGTGTGTCCCACATTAGTTTCATAAATTTTTAAAAAGAACAGTTTTCTAGGTCAAAATCGTAATGACACGGTATATTTTCTTTAATAAACATCTCTGAATGAAATATGGTTGTACCCTTATCAGTGAACGACCCAAATCATTCCAAAAAACGGTACTTCATTCCGACAGAATCACTTCCAATTGCTTCGTCATTTCTTTTATTTTCCGTAAACATATAAGGGATAGTTGAATGCTAAAACATTTTTAGCTCAAATCAAAGAAGGAATGACCAGAAAATGGAGTTGCTGTAGCAACAAATGCAGCATAACACAACTTTACATGTATCAAACTACCGATACTTGATACCCCACGTGATGCAGCACCAATAATTTGTAGCAATAGCTGTGCAAGTACTAATAAATTGCAGGCTAGCATTGTTTGTGACTCAGATTCCATTTGTTAGCAATATTGCTACTGTAGTAACAATGAGCAAATATTGTCATCAAATGAGAATGAATGGTGCTTTTATCACATATCAAATACTCTCTAATGTCCAAAACTTTGTCCACTGATCAAACAAATTTGATCTTCTTGGTAGACGATAATAAATCTTTGTTCTAAGTCCATCATTCAAAAAATATGTTTTTATCAGTATAGCTTCTGAAACAGAAATGATGCTTACAGGAAAGTATAAAAGCATAAAAAAATAACAGAAAACTTCTAACATCGAGTAATTCACCAGAATGGATAGCACTTCGACACTTTTTTGGACTAAATAATAAAGGACACGGTAGTAACCAGAAGGAATGGTTCTGACAAAGTAGCATAGTGAAGTCCTTTTCTTGACTTTTTAATGCCTAGCTGTATCATAGCTAAATTAAAGAAAGTAAAATTAGAAAGTTAACTTATTACTTCAAAAAAGAACCTATAAGATAAAAAATAAATGGGTAAATACTTCGTATGGTTAAAAAACTTTAAAAAACAGAATGAGGCTAATTTGGAGGATTAAAGATTGTATCTACAGCTTTAGTTCCAATAACTCCCTTGTTAGTTCGTCTGGTTCTCGAATTTCTAGGTTCTGAAAAAAGAAACAGTTCTAGCATAAAAAAGGAATTTTTGTCAGAACAAATTCTCAAATTTTGGTAGAGCAGATTTTAAAAAACGACTTGAAAATTTAGCTCATGTCAGTATAAGAACTGTAATTAACAAATATTTTTATCACTTCCAGTTAAATACTGAAGTGGTAAAAATACAAAAACAAAAAGACAGTGAAAGAAACTGATTTATTATTTATTAAAGATCCTACATGTCCATATTCACACTCTACACTTTTCAGTAACGGAAAAAAAATCCTCAGATTCCTGATACATTTTTTAATGCATCTACTTAAGAAAAAAGTTTGGAAATTAGGCTGCATAAAAATCTAGATGAAAACAACTACTGCATTTATCCAAACATACTACTATTCCTTGTCCAATAAAATCTAAAGAGCTGTTCTGGGCCGAGTTAATCATGTGCATAATTACTTATAGAGTGATATTAAAATGTATTTATTACCAGATATAACAGCGCTTGAAGAATTTCCAAAAAAAAAAAATTAATTCTAGGAGACAAATACCCTATTCAGTTCACATTTTCTCGCCAAATTGTTTCTACTACCAGCATACATCATTCGCAATTGTGGCTTACATCCTGGAAAGATTCAATAACAATTAATTAAGATCTGCTAACTGCTCGTTAAGTATATTTTAGAATGGACTAAACATGCATTTTCATCAAAAAAAAAAAAACTAAACACGTCATATGAAGTACTATTTCTTTCCGGCTACTCATAATTTTTTTTATCAAAGATCAAACAAACCTGACGGACTATAGAAGACAAGAGATAGTGGATATGAAAGACGGCCATCGTCGTGTACACGTTCGTAGCTTATTACAATATACCGCGGCTGTTGCACAGGTAATTCATCACAAATCATATCTGGATCACAATCCTAGAAAATTTGTGCCGTAGTAGCAAATACTCCAAAATTCTGACGCCAACTTGAAGACACTAGTTTCTGAACAGTCATTCAGTGGAAAAAAGAAGTACCTCAAGCTTCTGATCCAATATAATGAGCTGTTTCACCGGATCAATCTTCACTGCAAATTAACTGCACGGTCAAAGCAAAAACATTGAGGAAAGTGTGTAATATGGTGTATCAAATCTAAATTATCGTCAACTTTCGTTACAAAAAGCAAAATTTGCATTCAAAGTTTAAAACATATTTAGATCTGTTAATATCAACTCAAAAAGTACTATCAGTTTCAAATCAAGAAAATTTTATTAAATAGAAGAAAAATGCACATATCAAGGCATTTGTTGAGCGCTTTCTACTGAACCGAAATCGCTCCAATTCGTCTTTTAGATCCGCCGCTATCTCACATATTTTTAGTGCATCCGTCTGAAATATCACTTAGCTTAAAGAATACAGAACATGCTAAAAGACAATAAAACGAGCTTGGTCAATAAAGATGCATGCAATAAAATTTGAGATTACATCACCGGATCAACGAAATGTTGTTCCAACATAACAGACATTTTTATTCAAAGAACTGATAAATTTAAATCGATTGTGGTAGCTTTTTGGAGCTAAAAATAAAAAGTTGGCAAATTCTGAGAAACACAAACCATGTTGAATGATAAAAGTAGCAGCAGATCTTTGATCAATTCTTCGAGTTCTATCAATATTTGCATTTTGTTTTACAAAGGGTTTTTGAAAAGGAAGCATTCAACGAAATTAAAATATTCGATTTACCATTTACAATTACGTTATGAAAATTACGTTATTACTATAAAAGCTTATGATTCAAAATATATCCGTATTTCTTATATGCATGTCTTGAGTCAACATTGCAGCTGCGGTAGACTCAACTTACAACATTCAGAGTGACAACTATCCCATTCACTCCCTTTATATTGAATTTCAATTTCTTCAATGATTCAATTCTACTGTATAAGGTGAAAGGGCTAATTTTACAATTCGATCTAATTTTATTTAACACTTGATCGTCTGTATATCCAACTTAAAGGAAACAACCTCATTTTCTACAATAATTTGTTTCACTAATTCAGCAGTACAATGTAGCTCTAGGATCATCCCGTTAAAAAATTCAATTCTAATCATAGAACTTTCCAAAAAGGAAAAATGACCAGATCAAGTTTCATTAACACATAATAACAAGACCTTGAAAGCTTCCTATGGTATCATTGTCCACGTCGAAAAAGTTGGTCTGGAAATTCTCACCTTTCCTTTAAAGCCGCTACTGAAAAGTGAAAACTTTTTCAAAGTACAGATGAGTCGCTCCGAGAAATGCAGAAGATGTTCTAGAGAAAACAATAAATTAATTTTATTAACATTTGCACGTGAAAAAAGGTGAATTAAAATCATGAGAATTCGATTTCAAGATAACATAAAAAATTAGTAATAGTCATCCTGAAACTATGAAGCAACAAGCATAAGATAAAATAGTACATGTACTACTAACTCGTTTAAAACATTTCAGAATCTTTTTAACAACTATTTTCTATTAATCGTTATCTTCAAGCTTACACTCTAAAACTCATGGATTTTTTTCTCCTCCCTTTGGAAAAGAAAAGAATACTTTAGGACAGAGCGATAATTTGATCCTAATAAAGCGTAACAGTAGATAAAACATCCAGTGAATATATATTCAGGGAATTGTAGAAATGATAATTTAAAAATGAATATCAGTAATGAAAAAATAACACTACTGAAGTATTTTAAAGAATATGACCACCTCATATTACACGTACTAAAATTATCCTAGGTCAAGTTATACTAAGTAATAAGTATAACATAAGGATAAAAATCATTGCTAATGTCTTCTCGATTGTGAAGAGAAGCACAAAATGATACTGATGCAACGGTGAACATATAAAAATTAGAAGCTAATAACAAACAGTGTACACAATAAGGCATATGCTATGCATGCAAATCAGTAATCTTTAACATGAAAGACTGTTACTGATTGAACAGCTCGGCTAACGATATGAGAAAAAAAAAAACCATAGTAACGCCTTATACTAAACGAGCAGGACTCAGTATATAAATATCATTATTAATTATATGAGTAAATGGATGGGGGTTATCACCTTGCACATCACTACGCATTCCACCGAACATTATCAACTCTCCTCGACCAGCACAAAGCGAATACAACATTGTATCATCTGGTGCTTTTAAATCTATCTCTTGTTGACGCCATCTAAAAAAAATCCAAAATTCACCTCTAAATAAATGACATGTAAAAAAGTTATACAAACCCTAATGTCCTGTTATTAACAATATCAATTCAGAAAGATTATAAGCACACAATTAAACATTATAATTTTCACCTAAATCTCCAATCATTCAGTATGTAACTACCAGTAAATCAATAACCATAACTTTCAACACTTACGTTACTGTACAATCCTCCAAAACTCGTGCGGTATCAAGTATATAAACACAAGCATTCCCTTGACGCCTTTTATGATACCAATTTTCTAAAAACAATTTAAACACTCAAGAACTATTCCCTGAAATACATTTCCTAGCGAAACTAGTAAAAATTAATAAAGGTTTTTGGCAGGAAATATGAACTGCATTCTTGAACATACGAAACGAGCAACTATTTACCTAACTAATGAGTGGAAATTAATCTGCTTGGATAATAGAATTTTAGCAAATAATAGAATAATTTAAAAATAAAAAAAAGAACCTACTTCCCAGTGTTGCACCAGATGCACCATTAATATACTTCAAGTTACTAAAAAATAGAAAATATATAATCCAGGTAGGCGCAAAAAATAAAATCCATAATATCCTTACTCTAAAGCTAAACAAAGCTTACGAAAACAAGAGTTCCATAAAGGGCCGAGCTTTAAAAATGAATAGGAATTGTAGCTGACTCATAAAATACCAAAATTTGCTTCTTCATATGTTTCACAAAAAAAACGTGCAAAGAAGCAAAGAATGTCTCAAATGAAAAAATATTGAATAATTCCTAAAAAAATCTTCCACTATAGAACTAAAATATGATTTCAAAGATTTTCATGACATCTATTAAAGAAGAGTTTTCAAAACAAATTCATATATAATGAACTTACTTCTTCGCATGTAGTGAAGAGAAAGATTGTTGACAACTCGAAAAATTCAATTTTTCATTCAGTGTGTGATCCACGTTGTCCCTATATTATTACGTTTCAATTATAGTGAAATTCATTGTTTGTTTGCGATGTTTTTGAAATCAATTTCATTTCAGTTTAAATTAGATAAGAATACCCTGTATTAGAAGGTTGCAGCGTGACATCATTCATTGAACATGGTGGCTAAATAAAGAAATAATTCAACATTTCATAATGTTTGTAACCAAGCAATTTCATTTTATTTAAAAGTTACACACCAACTGAATCCGATTCCTTGAAGTGACCTGGAGTGGTGCTGGGCACGAATTTAAACTGATTGTGCCATATCTGAAAGATCTTGTCTTGCATATTTCTTGATCCGTTCAAATATTTGAAAAATTATTTCTGCTGTATGAAACAAGGCATACCAATTGTTAGATGCATGAATTTTGAAAACAAAAAAAGTAAAACTTCAAAATGTTGTCCGCTCAAAAAGATATTACTTTTAAGTAATAATACCTATCGTTCCTCCTTGCATAACTTATACACGCGAGATTCCGTCCAATTGGACATGCTGGGTGACACCAAAGTTGAGATGGACCTGATTTTGGATTGGTGATCTGAAATAATAGTTACATTGTCGAGAAAACTCGGTAAATCAACATTAAATATATATTTAAATAACATCTTGGTCCACAACGATTTACTCATAAGAAAACAAAGATTAGAACTGGCATTGATTTCCTTCCATTCCCATGCAGTTTGCAGCGTTAAATCGAAAGTAAGAAGCCAAGCATCATTATAGATACAGTTCGGACCACCACAACCACCGATCACGAGCAGGTGTGATTTGTCAATTACTACACATGAGCTACCATAACGTGGATTCGGCTGTGGATTTTTCAACAAGAACCGTTCGCTAGACGTTGCGTCTGATTTCCCACAACTTTCATCTTTGTGATTCCTATCAGAACCGATATTTGATATATTTAATTTTTAACCAGAGAATCATTTACTTATCAGAAAACAAAAGATTAAAACTGACATTGATTCCCATGCAGTTTAACACACAAATAACGAGAGCTCAATAGCATTCAAAAAAAAAAAAAAAATTCAGCTTTAATTACTCTCGAAAATGGGTTTAATAATGCCCTCGAAATGTGATAATAACTAAACGAGAATCTGACATTCTCCATAACCCATTAAATTTTTTGTTAACTCACAAAAAATTTGTGGGTTAACAAAAAAGTTTCAGAAGACTTACTCGAATGACGGTATATGCCAAATTTTAGTAGTAATATCCAAAACATAAACAGTATTTGTAGCACGGCTGTTCTGAGAACCACCAAAAATAATCAGCGAATCACCTACCACACATGCACAATGACTTGCAATCACGGGGGGTGGAGGTTCCGTTTCAACCTGAAAACAACAAAAATAATGTAAAATTGGACACTTTGAAAATCTTGCAATCGGCAAGCAAATCAGACATTGTTTGAAACTATGTTAGCCACCAACAAAAATAATTCCGCTAAAAATTATTCGTGATTGTCCATTTTTTATATCTCGTCTTCGCTAAATATTTCACCCATTTAATTTAAAAAATATGGTACAGATTAACTGAATATGAAGCAAAAGATGAAAGTACTAAAAATTTGAATTTCTTAGAATATATAGGACCATTTGTTTAATCTTCCCAGTAGTGCTTAAATTATTAGACTTAAATTAATAAAGCAAATTAAATTATATATAAGTTCTGGAAGTGAAAGCTATATTTCACAGAACAGAACAACCACATGAAAAACTCTGATTACCTCAATCCACTCATTCGTCATGGTATCGTACATATGTATTTCACTAAAAAAATTTGCTGCTTGATGAATTGGGTTTGGTGAGGACTTTGCGAATCCACCATGGAGAATCAAATACTCCTTGTAAGGCACAAAAATGGACATAGCCTTGGGTCGCGGGAATGGAGCACACTTAATAAATTCTCGGCACCAGTGGTGAGACTTCTGAAATTACAATTCTCAGCTTCCCGGAAAACGTAGAACCATTTGTTTGGTTTTCATGGAACAGTACTGATCCTAAATTAATGAAGAGCACACAACTGAAAATTCAACAAACAAATTCATAAAAAGAGTGGAAATATACCAGATCAAAACTCCAAAGGTCGTTAAAGGCGGTATAATTATCGGTGCACCCACCAAATATATACACTTTTTTAGTACCATCATGATAGCAACCTGAATGTGAACAGCGTTTTGCAATTGCACCATCCCCTTCGTTTTTTGCTGCACATAGCTCCCTAAAAATTAAATACATATTATTTCAAATATCACACCGAAAGATTCTTTCAAAACAAAACAATATGATTGGTACAAAGCTTGCCAATTACAGCTATTAGCGAACGATGAAAAATATGAAGAGTAAGACGCAGCCTGAGATTATATTCCAGCAGATATCATTCCTGAGCATCATTATTTTTGCACTACAACAATCAATCCAAAACATTTAATTTAGGCTTCAACTAACCAAATCAGCTGATTACATCGGAGGAAAGACTTCTTTAAAATACTAATGACAGTGGATGCTACGCGATGCCATCGACGACTAACCAATCGGACATTTTCCAAATCGCCGTACTGATTCAAATATGAAAAAACTATTTCTAAAACGAGATCCGGCAAATCGTCGATGTCCATAGATGCATCCGAATCACAAATCTGAAGTTTGAAAGATGTATGCACATGCCAAATGTGTTAATTCTAACTACATACAAGTAATTTTGCCAGCATGTATAGTTCAAAAAAACTTCGACTGTTTGGTTGCTCCTTCATACAAAGTTCACCCGGTTGGGCAAGTGCTGCATGTGTGGAAGGCATAAGCGTATCGTCCCAAAATGCAAATGAAATTCATTGCCTTCCTACTTTTTTCCCTTCTCTTCCTTTTACAGAAAGGGCAGATTTATATAGAGGTAGGAGTTAGGAAAAGCTTCACAGTAACGGGAACCTAAATATTTATAGAGGAAATATTAAAAACTGAAATATTGAAAAGTTTAGCTTGACAAAAAAGTTCAACTTGTCATTTGAAAAAGCTGAAATACCCAGTGAGAGATCTAATAGTAGCATTCCAGCAAGGACCTTTTCTGGAATAGGGACATAAGTTTTTCCGCACCGGACCGAATCCTTATACCTTCTGCTGAAGGACAAACAAATCCTCACGGTATCCCCTGCCTCCCCGCTCGCTCCCTCCCTACTTCACTCTCCTCGCTACAACCATATTCTCTAATTCTGTGTTTTGACGTACTATCTCGTCAAACTATTGAATTTACAAAAAAAAAAAAAAAACGAATTATTTATAAATTCCCTGTTAATTTGCAATCCTCATTCGATGATATCATAAATAGGAGCTTATCAGTTGAATCCATCTCATATTCAGTAGTTTCTTGCGATTTTATTGTACCACAAATTTTCTGACCTCTAAATGTCAACATTATCACATACTCTCGATGGGATTGTATTAGTTGTGATGTGTTACGGCTGAATTAAGAGTCACTCCAACTTGCGTGTATTCTTTCATTAGCAGATTATTAATGAAGAGTGAGTAGAATTGGTAATTTGGAGTTTGAGGTGTTAGTTGAGATTGCTTAAAGATTTAGAGAGGAGAGCAGTTTCCCTGTTGTTTTTGTTCTTTCCTCCTGACTGCTGGGACTCCCGAAGTAAGGAGACAGCCAAATCAATCCATAACTATAGCAAATTTCATTTCAACTTGTTGCAATTCCGAACGCATGCAATATCAAACAACATAAATGCACAATTTTTAGAAGCATTTAAATTGAAGTAATTTTTTCAGCAGTGGGTTTGAAGGATAGTGATGCCAATGACTGCATCCTCCTTTTCGGATACGATGCTCTATGGAGAGCATGTACGGATAAGCGTCGCTGCTAGCCAGGTATGTCCAGTTTTTTCTCTTATCACTATGCCGTTACTGTTTTCCATATCGTTATGATGGAATTGAGATAAAATGAGCACTAAGTGAACACGAGAGTTAGATTGTGATTTTACTTACAAATGGTCAGCTGACTATGGTCAAGCTCCAACTATCGATAGTCAGCCAGAAAATCGAACAGAACTATCTATTGGTCAGAATCTCAAATTTTTTTGAAAAGACACGTGTGGATCAATTTCTGTAGATTTTGAAGTATTAGCAAAAGGATTTTTCCTCTTTCTTTGCGTCGCCATTACTTTACGCTTTTTTGGAATAAACCATGGTCCAAAACGAAACAGTGATGCTGCAGCTTATGATTGCTTTTATTATTATCTCTACCGTTCATATTGCTGTAGCAGTACTTCATAGCTGTTATTACTTTCATACGTCTAAAAGATTTCAGCAAGAAATTTTCAGGGTGGCAGAAGGTATATGGAGGATCGAGTACACATCGAATGTGTTCGACTTCCCAGTGGCGCTGTCGATTACCTTTACTTTGCTGTTTATGATGGTCATGGTGGTTCAGAAGCCAGTGACTATGTCCGGAAGCATCTCCTGAAGAACATTCAATCACAGTATGGTTTTGACGGTAATGATGAACAAATGCTGGATGCTATAAAAAAAGGTTTTGTGGAGACGCATCTTGCAATGTGGAAAGTTGTCGGTTAGTATAGAATCTGTATGCAACTTTTTTTACATACTCCATATTTGTGAATTTGGTATTTACGATTTCCTAAAATTTTAAAATATTTCACTGGTATCGACAGCCTTAGTAACGGTACTTTACAGACGATTGGCCTCTCACTTCCTCAGGTTACACCAGCACGGCAGGTACCACTGCTAGTTGTACTTTTATTCGACGTGGAAAAATATTCACTGGGCATGTTGGTGACTCTGCTGTAATTCTAGGAGAAATGAATAGTTTGTTAATGTTTTTTTTTCTTTTTTTAAACTTACTAATTATGGTCTGTGGTTTTCGAAAATTTCCTCTGAGTTTCAAATTTCATGAATCCAGAAATATTTTTTCTCCATACCGAAATAAAAATATTTTTGAAGAAATTTTCAGATGACGAAGTAAGAGCTAGTAGCTTGACAGTTGATCATAAGCCCGACAATTCTCTGGAAGTGCAACGTATAAATAGTGCTGGTGGAATGGTGATGAAGAAATCAGGCGTCACACGCGTTGTTTGGACGAGACCTATTCGAGGTCATGTTGGACCTGTGCGCAGGTCTACACCAACCGAAAGTATTGCTTTTCTTGCTGTTGCTCGTGCTTTAGGTTAGTGGAAGTTTAAACATGTTTGATTTTTTTTTTTATTTGCTTAAATTTTAAGAATTGTTTTAAGGTATGGGAATCATTTCAAATTGTTAGATTTAAAGTAATCCCATCTTACTTGAAGTAACATCTTTCATAATTTAGAGCAAAATTTTTAGTGTCTCAATTCTTTTGAATTTTATAGGTGATTTATGGTCATATAATCGAGAAACGAAACAATTTATTGTAAGTCCTGAACCAGATGTTGCTGCATATGATCTAAATGATAACAGTTTATGTTTGGTGCTTGGCTCAGATGGACTAACCAATGTTTTAAAACCACAACAAATTGTCGATATTGTGATGCATTATGAGAAAGTATCACGTGATAAAGTAAATTTGGACTTTCCAAATATCAGCTGTAGCAAACAGTAGTAATTTCTGGTAGTGCTTGGATTGCGGGTTGAATTATAGAGTGAGATTTTCAGCTAGACCAACTTTAATTCCAAATGCAATATGTGTATACATAGGTGCTTTTAAAGAATTATTCTAAATATTTCATTACATTGTTATGCAGTGAAGCGCTTTATTTCATTATATTATTTTAGCATGGCAGGTTGCCCAATCATTCTCGTTGGATATTGCGTCATGCATTAGAAGGTTGGGGAGCATCTCGTGCTGATAACATATCAGTTATATCAGTGAGTTTATAGTATAACTCCATCATTTGAAATTTGTGTCTAACTAGCCATCATTAAGGTCCATAACAAAAGACCAGAACATCAATATTAAGTTTTTGTTTAATCTTGACTATAATTATTGTTAGTCGAAAATCAAACTGTTGAGAACTAGTACATTTTTAGTACTTATTAATAGACAGAACTTGTCCACATTACTATTGAAAGTAATCTCTCCAGATAATAAATACAGTCTGAGTTCTTCTGACATCCATTTATTATCATTGATCTATGATAGTTAGATTTTTTCTCACGGTGATATATGTTGAACGCTTTCAGGTATTTTTCGATAAAAAGAATATAGATGTTAACAACACATCGGTTTTGGCTGATGACATTAATTTGTGTCTAGACAGAGCACTTACAGATTTTGGAAATTCAACGGTCATGTTAGGACCAAAGTATTGTAAACAGCTGAAAACATTGGACGTCGATTTATATTATTCGGGCATCGTGGATCCCAATTTTACTACAGGTTAGCAACAGCTTCTATCATTTCCATAAAAATATTCCTACAGTTCCTTCCAAAATCGTTACGTATTATGTATTATTCATATCGAATTCATTACTTTTCTCATGAGGTGCTAGAACAGATTGTAATAGGGATAAAAATACAGCAAATTTGCCAAATTGAATTTCGAAGTTATTTTCCTGATGTTTTTTCTAACGACTACGCAGTGATGATTGAAAAGTTTGTCAATCATCACTGCATAAATTTTATTTTATTACTTTTAAGGAAGGGGTAAATAAGTATAAGACTGATTGAAATTATTTTAGAAATCGCCTACAATGGACCTGGTTATGCTCGTGATATTAGACGTCCGCTTACCCTCGTACAATTCTCAGATATGCCAGTAATGCCGTTGCATTCCTTAGATCGTGTCTCATCCATACATCATTTAAATGAATTATTTGCCACGAATAATAAAGTTAAAGTATTGCCAGCTGGATGTGTTGCTGGAGTATTGTTGGATGGAATGGATGAATTATACGAGAGCTTTATAGAGTAAGTGAGATAAGTTCGTGATGCAGTGAGCTTTTTTATTGCTTTATAGGCAGAATGCTGAACTTAAATAGTACTAATGATTAGTAGAATGTTATGATCTTAAATGATTAGTAGACTGTTAGTAGGATGCAAGTAACAGAAACGAATTCATATTTGTAAATAAGAACGATGATAACAATAAGACGGTGGGGAGGAGTACTATATATATGCATCAACAGCTTTGTCAGAACATCCAAGAAAGACATTATTTTTTCGAGAGATCATTTACATAGAGTAAAATAATCATAGCTCGAACATACATGCACGGAATTGATGTGTAAGATGTAAATTCTCAAGTACATTTTATTATCGTATTTAACTGGTGCCATCTTATCATTTGCAGTGAAGGTATTCTATATCCTTGTGATGGAGTAGCACGGGAAGAGACAATCGAGAGTGTTCATAGTAATGGAGACGATAATATAGAAGCAGAAAAAATGTGTGGAGAGAATTCGAAAGCAAACACTAACGTGGTGATTTCTTAAAATATTTTAAATGAGGATAAGATAAAACAACAGATTTAAGCCCACTATCGAAAAGAGTGACTTATATAAAGACTTTTTTCTGCTTCAGTTAATGAATTGTACTTTTGTGTAATGCCTGATAGGAAGAGTTGAGGAAAAGAGTAGAAGAAGTGATGTAGATTAGCTCCTAACTTTTTTTTTTCAGCTTAATACATGTATTTACCTGCAATCCCAAACCGCAAAGTAAAAAGTGAGAAGAGGATAGCAAGTTCTTATTTCATTTTAGTTTACGAAATATTTTCAGTATGATGTTAAGACTTCTTTGAGTACGTCAAGTGCAAAATATCCTTCTACTAGTTCAAGCATGAACAACGTTGTAAGTCACTTCGTAGTATTGTTTTGCGGATTTGCTTCTTTTATTTCTGAACAAATTTTTTATCTCATTTTTCATAAATCTAATGAATGTTTTATGTGCTCTTGATAAAAGGAATTGATTGTTTCAGGAACATTACAATATATCTTCATCGTTCTCAAGCACGAAATCTCTGTTTTCTTCTCTCGCATCAAGTTCTTATTCAAAAACAATAAGTAATCTTTTAAATGGACTTCTTGAAATTTAAAATTACAAAGAACAACAAAAAATTCATTGCAAATTGGATTCAATAATTTCTTCATTCGTGGAGTCATATGAATCAAGATGCTAGTATTTTAGATTGTTTTTGAATTCATTTAGTAGTATACAGTAAGTTCAAGAAGTGTCAGTTATTTGTCTGTCTGTATGAGAAAGTTTCAGAACCAAGGACGGTACTTAAGGCAAGCCGAAGGAAACAAGCAGTCTATTCAAAATCTGTGAAAGAAGATACCATGTCAAGTGTTGGTAGTGATAATAATGTTAGTGAGGACTGTTTCGATAATAGTCAGTTTTCATCGACCAACCGTTGCCATGATTTTGAAGGTCTTGCAGTTTCGCAGCGTCCCAGTGGTGAATTCTTCGGAGTTATTAATATATTTGGATTTCTTATAACAGTTTAGTTCGCTAATAAGGCATCAAAACATTTATTTAAAATGAATGATATAAGAAACATGGTAGATTATTTTGAAATTTTGTAAATTAGAATACTTTTCATTTCTTCATATGCGATGTTGGTAATATCTCACCATAATCACTTACAAAATTTATAGATTTTTACTTTGGTCGAGAATCTTCGGTCTTGGTAATGAAACATTTTTTCTGTTTCGCAAACAGTTTGCAAAAATTTCTTGTTGAATTCGAATTTTTGTAAATGCAAATTGATTGTTGAAGGTAGCGCTTCGGCCTTGTCACCTTCCTTGATGTTAGAGGCTTTGCGAATCACGAATCAGTTATTCGAGCATGATCCTTTTGCACGTGATCTCATTCTTTCTAGACGGCGGCCGTTTGCTCGTCGTCGTCTATCCTCGTCATCTCTGGAACCATTTAAAAAAAAACTTAAAGTTTCTATGGAAAGCCGTACAGGTTTGTAAACACAAATTTATTTGTCAGTTGTTATGTTTTTTGTGCAAAGATTAAGGACTTTACCATCGAGAATAGCGGCGAATAATTTCATCGAGAATAGCGGCGAATAATTCGAAAAAGTTCGAATTATTCACCGCTATTTTTCTGTAGATGAGATTCTTTGTGAATGTCCTTTATAAAAAACATCTTTATTGAACATGAAAACTTTTTCAGATCCTGTTTATGACTCTTCCATAAGAAATGTTGGAAACTTGGAACAAAATGTTGCCAACGCTAATAAAGTTGAAGAATGCACAGCACCAACCACTAGTAAATTTCGCATGTGGGACTTCTTTTCTAGTTTGTTGGGAACTCGTGCAAACAAAAAATGATATTTGGAAATAATTCCATCTTCTAAATTTTGAGTCGCTGATTCATTAATTTACTTTATGTTTTTGATCTTAATATCACCATTGTTTGATTTATCTTTCACGATAACTTAGGAAATAAAAGTTATGCATAAATAGGTTTTATGCAGAAGTGCTTTCGTCAAGGATTTCTCAATTTCATATTTTTCAGTTTTAATGCTTGTTTCAAAAACATATGTTTTCGTTTTCGTATTGATATTGTAGGGAACTGCCAATGTTACTGCTCATTCCAGTAATGTGAAACCTTTGTTGTATATTTCAGTTTTTGTGGTTTGTTTTTTTTATGGGTGTGATTGTCATTTTGTAGAAGCTATAATCTTTCACATAACAGGAGTTCTCCTGGTTGTTTGCTAGGATTTAAATTTTCAAGAAAAGAAAAATGAGGAACAGTTTGCGAATACAGAATATAGTACTTTTGCAAATTGTCAAGAAGTAGTTAATTTTTTTTTTTGTAGATTCGAGCTTTTAATTCTTGCTACACTGTTTTAAATAATTAACTGACTGGGTAAGCTACAGTCAGGTTTTTCAATGTATAATTTCCTTAGCAACGTAGTAAAAGAATGACCTTTACAACTGAATGAATGTTATTTCTCAGATATGTTTAATTTCAGCTCCGTACGCTATAGTTTTTTTTTAACTTTCTCCAGTTGTTTTGTTAGCATTTGCAGTGTAATCAAGGAAATCTCTGATCTCGATTTTGCTTCCAAAGGAAAGGAAAAAGACCATTGTAGAATTTTATTTCCGAAGTAGCATTATTACTTGCTTATAGGCCTTTTCTGTCTGGCAGTATTTGATTTTCAGTATAATGCTTTTAAATTCACGATAAATTTGCAATCATTTTTAGTTGCTGTCAAAACTGTTCGAACTTTTAGTACAGTGCTCCTATCAAAGATCGTGTATTGCTTCTTGACGAAGTTAGAATTTTTATTTTAAAACCTGTGGTTAAATGAAAGGCGTCCTGTCATAATTCCATCGAAATGGGAAATTATTTTGTGTTCGACACTGTGACTCTAGGAAATTTTTTTTGTTTTAACTTCCATTTTCAATTGATAAGGATTATTCCTAACAGACATGCCGCATATCTACTCTGCGTAATTAATTGCTGCGTATTACCTTGATCTCTTTTATTTGATGTGTACTTCTAAAAATTTATGTCACTACCGCTTCAAAGAAAACAATTACTTCCTTTTAGATGTGTCGATTATTTATTAAAGCCGACTGAATACAAATAATTCTGGGTTAATTAGTTTGCTTTCTGATAGTATAGTTATTTTTTGAAAATAAGTTTTCCATATTATGAATAATATACGACTCAGTACTCGTCAGCTCGCCACATAGCGATTCAAATCACAAGGACAGTAGACTAAAATCAGTTTAATCTCGAGGTAACGTTTTTCAGGAACTTTTCAGGGGACCACCTTATCTAAGCCGAACTCATCCTATATCTGTTTGTTTCGATTGGCATATATATCAAAATATCACGTCAAATAACAAAGCACTGTGCGTGAGAGCATACAAAACAACATAACGTCTGGGAAGTTTGCAAAACCAAATGAAATGTTTTTGTTTTCAAGAAAGAAAGGGGAGAGAAAAATGCAACAAACGTGGAAAAAGTACCAAAATAAAAAGATTAACATGTGTTGTAACGGAAATTGAATGAGATAAGAGGGAACAGAAGACAATTTGAGAGCAGAGGGCACGAGGCTAGCTAGTACTTAGATATCACCTGTGACACCAGTACAGTCGATTGCCGGTAGCCATCCCGAGATCGATTTTTCCTGATGCAGCGCCCCCTTATTAGACGACTTCACTTGTAGTAAGGAAGTTCTTGTTAACTTTCTCACTCGTTATTAACCTCTTATTTTCAATTTCATGATGATGAGAGCTTCTATTAAAATTACTCTCTTAAAATAGTGATATTGATTCTTGTCAAAGAAAAAATTCATCGTGCAACTTATCGGTTATCGCTGTTGCGCTACTCTTTTCTATATATGTCTACACTTAAGTGTCCCGAAGATCTAGTTCACATTGCTTTACATGATCGTTGAAATGATTTCAAATCGAGCTGTAATCAGCATTCAAAACATTCACATAGTAAGCAAAGAAGGTAATGATATCCATCGCAACATGCGACATATTCGGTAGTTTCTAATATTTTTAAGCATATATTTCACCTCTCGAGAAAAAAATATTCAAGCTTCCTTTCCTAGACGGCTAACTGTCATATGGTTACTCCAGACCCTGAGATAAACTAGTCCTAAGAGAAGCTCTCATCATCATTAAGCTTAAAATAAGAGGTTAATAACAAGTGTGGTTAACAAGAACTCCCGTACTATAAGTGAAGTCGTCTAATAAGGGGGCGCTGCATCAGGAAAAATCGATCTCGGGATGGCTACCGGCAATCGACTGTACTGGTGTCACAGGTGATATCTAAGTACTAGCTAGCCTCGTGCCCTCTGCTCTCAAATTGTCTTCTGTTCCCTCTTATCTCATTCAATTTCCGTTACAACACATGTTAATCTTTTTATTTTGGTACTTTTTCCACGTTTGTTGCATTTTTCTCTCCCCTTTCTTTCTTGAAAACAAAAACATTTCATTTGGTTTTGCAAACTTCCCAGACGTTATGTTGTTTTGTATGCTCTCACGCACAGTGCTTTGTTATTTGATATTTTGATATATATACCAGTCGAAACAAACAGATAGGAACGTGATTACAACAAAGTCGAATGAAAGGCCTAGGCTTAGTATGAGTTCGGTTTAGATAAAGCAGTTTCTCTGAAAGGTTCCCGAAAAACCTCGAGAAGATTAAGCGAACCTGAGTGAAATTTTTATATAGCATAACTTTTTGACTGCTTTTAGATGACATCTATAATACGATATAGTCTTCCCTTTCGTGTATTCCTTTTGTTGCCTCGTATTTCCATTCCTACTTTGAATCTATATTAACATCACTTAAATCAAGTCTTTAGGGTTAAGGACTATTTCTATTTCCGTTGATCAAATGTATCACATGAAGATGTTAAGTTGGATTTCTACTTGCTTTCGTTCGTTTTGTTCGTAACAGTTTTGAGTTATTACTACGAGATTAAAGGTCTCTTATAATGGCATAAATTTACACAATAAAATCAATTTTGCAAAGTATTTCAGTATTCCGTGTATTAAATATTTATTCATATACTTAAGGAATCTTTAACAAAATAATGGATTCAGAAAAGAGAAATTTAGAACGTTTGATAGTATGACATTTACTCAATTTCCGGATTGAAATTTAATGAAGTTTTCCTCTTTTCGAATTGTATTTGGTTAACATCAGGACTTCTTAAAATTTGTTGAAAGCTTCCAGCCGTTAATGAAGAAATACAAGTTAAAATTTAAATGGTTGAAATAGAATAATGGTAAGCCAAACTAAGACTGCCATTTTGTGCAGTTGTGAACTTTCTGAAAATGAGGTATTAACCTCCTTTATCTTTGTTTAGTAGTTTTTATCTTTAAACGAATAGGCTAATCTTAATATTTTTGGAAGCAAAAGGTTTTATTCACAAACTATGTACTTTATTTTTATATTTTTCAGTTGGGAAGAATTGTGTTATTCACTCCATCTGTAATTGCACATTTTTTATAACTCTTCCATCAATTTTAGCTCTTTTAGTAATAAGAATAGTTGTGTTGAAATAGTAATTTTTTGTAATCTGTAGGAAGTATCGTTCAAGTAAAAAGTTACTATTAAAATTATATAGAAATAGAAACAGCGATGGCTATTTTCCTAAATGAAATTTCATCTTGGAGATACAAAAACATCGAATTTTTATTGATGAAAATTTCCAAATGAAATGTTCAGTGTAAGTCAGTGTGAGCTAAACCAAGACTGACATTCTCTTTCATTCTTTACAGTAATTTTTGTAATTTCTAAGCTGTCAGATATTGCAGCGGTTTATGTGATTTGACTATGCTATGATAATGTGTAGTACAGAAGCATCCATTGATAAGGTGATAATGGATGGTTATTCAAGTTATCATACGGTATTTTTACTAGAATGCTTGTTTAGCACTTCGCATTCGTCAGACTGTAGGACGCAGGGATTTCTAACAATAAAGAATTCGTGAAACAATCTGTTGCTTTGAGAAGGCGTACTGGTATAATCGGTGAGTAAAAAAGTCATTTATTTATTGTGTTATATTCTTTTTATTTATTCACTAATATTTTTGACGCTTTCAAGACATACTAAAATATAAAATGAAAAGTAGCTCAAATTATGTTACCTTTCATCAAGTTACAACTGATGTTGTAAACTTTCCATAAATCATGAATTCTAATATTACTTAGTGAAATTAAACATTCAAATGTTTGAAAATTTCATGTAGGAATGCTTTCTTGAAGCACTGTGGGTGCAGTGAAAGATTTCCACACTGAAATAAATTGGGAGAAATATTTAAATTGATTCAAATTGATGTAATGTGCATTTTCAGAATGCCAAGCAGGCCGATGGAGCGCTTTCTAACACGGCGTTCGATATCTATTGTTACGGGCAGTTTGGCATTCATTGTTATGTATTGGTACATAAGACGACAACGAAGGTTGAAATGGTCTGTAAGGTTATCATTTACCTAGCTAATATGTATTGGGCGCTTCTGTCTAGTTAAAAATTAAAGCATAAAATAAGCTGCAAATCCTGCAAATTTTCTTCGTTATATTTCTTGTGTATAGCTCGCTTTATAAGGAAGCATTGATTCAGATGCGATAAATTTAGCTTGTCAAAATTCCATACTTCTCAAAAAAAAGGGAAAGAATTGTGACTTTGTAATTATAGCTTTTCTTACTTCTAAACTTTTCTTATTTTAGTGAAAACATAAATAGAAAAGTGAGTGCAAAGTCATGCAGTCAGAAGAATTTTGACGATCTGAAAGAGAGCAAATCAAGTTCAAAGAAAAATGTAGCGTTAGTAGTGAAGTTGAATGACGATGTGATGTCGGGCGATAACGCTGGAGATGCTGGGATGGATGATAACCAGTTTGAAAGGCAGCTCAATGATGACCTGTTAATTGCCGAGTTGGATAATGATGTGATACATGCAAATGATATTCCTGTTTTAGAAGTCTCAACTAATAGTTTATCAGAATCAGAGAAAACTCCAGTTGATAGCTTACCTTGTGCAAATAAGGTTTTGGTAAGTTTCGACTTTATTCATTTAAAACAAATTGCTTTTTTACTAATCTTGGAAAGAATTAATGTTTATATTATTGAGCCTAACTACGTAAAACAGTTCTGCATAGCTTTGTTTTTCTGCATATCCCCCCAGTAGCACTGTCCGAACCGTTGATGAGTCATGGATAAAATCGTTAATATCATAAATACTCATCTGTTTTATCATAAATACGGATTTCTTTCCTGTAGATGGTATATAATTAATATATAACAGCATTCATTTTGGAATGGAAAAGACAAGCATTTTGGTTATCGCTATAAGAACTCTCACTAAAGGGGAAAAAACTTCGAATTACGATTATATTATATCTGGGAACTTTTTATTAGTTCTCATCAGTCATTTTTGACGTCATGTATTTTGCGAAAATTAGTTGGTATATCAAACATCACAATTCTTTTTTTCACATACCTTTCATTGTAAAAAATATTTTTTACTTTAATGGCTATTTTTGTAGTTAGGTCACATTGAGCATGATTGGCTTGCCAAATGAAATTAAGTGTTGTGTAATGTCGCATAACAGATTTACCATTTACGAAAAATATACTCTTAATTATAAATAACTATACCAGTGCATTGTATTATTCGATTGCTAACCTTTGCATTGAAGAAAAAAAAAAAAAAAACTATTACTTAGTATTCCTTACTAACAGGTCCAAATTTCTTAGAGAATCATCTGGATACAAGTGTAAATTGGAATAGACTAAGCAATAAACAGTCCTTGCTTGTGAAGTATCCTACATTTGTTCACTTGCTGTGAACAATTTTCAATTTTTTATTATATTTTCTGAATTTGTGCAGTTGAATAAAAATATGAAGTGCCAACATTGAAGTTGATAATGTTTCAATTCATAAGAAACCAGCATTTAGACACATCATAATGCAGTATTCTTTTTGCTTTCAGTGCATTTAGAAATTACAAAATTTTTGGTTTTCTTTTTTAAGAAATTCTCCACTTTAGGTGGCTAATGAAGAAGAAACTGTGGAATATTCCTCGATTTGGATGGAATCTAAAGCTAAAGTAGGAAATATTTGTATTACGAGAAATGCAGCCGACAGACAAAATGCTGATCCGAACATTGTTGAATACAGGCCTTTAAACACATCGAGTAGTGAGGTTCACTTTTTTAATTAGTGGAATTCGTGAATTACTGAAGCTTAGAATTGTTATGCTTGTTTTGGGTTCACGATACTGTGATAATTATTGCAGCAGTATGACCATTTAAGTTATAATTGTAGCGGAAGTTCAACTCTAATTTTATTAATTAAAAATTTCTTTATTTCTCGAAAAATTTTCAGTTTATTAGAAGAAAAACTTTTCCTGCCACAGAGATATTTCTTGTCAAAAATTCATTGTTACTTCTTGAAAAGTTTTAAAATGAAAGAATTTTTTGAAGTAACAAATTCGGAATTACTTAATTCTTGCTTCTCACATCAGCTTTTTGCCTTAAAGAATATGGATGACGATGAGGTTCTCTTTTCCCTTTACCAATTAATTTCCACTTCATGCGCACCTCGGCATATCTTTTTTCATGTCACTGCTTTGATTATGTCAAGATTTTGAATATCTGTTCTATCTATAATTTTAGAGCTGGGACTTTTGTCATCCGTTGAAATTTGGATCTGATAATATCTATTCCTTAGTTGTATTTGAATTCTTCTAGTTAATTTTTTAAGAAGCAGAATTACAGTCTTCCTATTCTTTCACTTTAAACAATCATTGTTTTCTGGAGTACTTGACTCACTAATTTTTTTCAATGATTTTTTCGCGTAATCAGTGTTTTTTATTTGGTACACCTGGAAATCATGTTATAGCTTTTTTCTTTTGATCTTTTAATTTAAAGGAGAAGCTTCTTTCAAATTAGCTGAGAAGTTTTTCTGGTATAGTTCCACAGAGTTTCATATGAGCAAACTCTTTTGAATTCATGTTTTTGGATAAGATCACGTTCTTTTCCATCAAAATCCAACTTTACTATTTCTTTCGGTTTTATTAGTGGGATAATTGAGCAATATCAAACGGCGGAAATAATGCATCCTAAGCAATTATAAGACAATATCACATATCAGTAGCCAAAGATTCAGCGATCTGAGCGGGTTAATTTAAGTAAATGGATGAAAAATGGAAATTGTGACTTCCAGTATCTGTAATACAAGTAATAGTATTTTTGATTAACCCAGTTATTTTGGCTTCCGTACTCTTTCATTCGTATTATCTAGGAAAAAAAGAATTGCTATGACTTGTCCCTGCCTTTATATTTACTAAATTTGTTGACCATTCAACGTTATGAGACGCAACGTGAACTTTTTCTCTATTGCTTTTTTGTTTCTTAGTATACATAGCTGTTTTTCAAATGCGTTAAAAGTAATTCATGTGTTGGATAAAGTTTGTCCTTATGGTTTCCCCCATGTATCTTTGCAGGAAATTCGTAGGTAACAGCTTGAAGAACACTAATATTTATTTATTTTCGCCAACAGTGATCATGCTTCAAACAGATTGCCAACAAAGATAAGACTTTGTAATTCATATGAGCCCTGATTCAAATTATAATAAAGAAAAAGGAAGGATGGATGGACGCAAAGAAAATCATTCTTCAAGTGTACTTGTAAAGGTTTCCAGGTTACCCTTACTTCTTTGTATCATTTGTTACATATCGGTGATCATAGTTGAAAAATGTTTTATATTTTCATAGAGTCATATGCACAGGTCGTTGTGAGACGCTTTTTCTTCCTTTGTAAACTGCTTACTGTTGTTAATATTAATCGTTTTTATTCGTTTTTTTTTTTTTTTTTTTGCTTTCTCAATTCTGTCCTAGTTTCGTCGAGGAAAGAGAAATAATTTATTTTTTAAATAATATAAATATACTCATAAGTATTGCTGATTGAAAACCATACGACTACCTGCGAAACATGTTTGTAATCAGGATTTTTTTTTTTCATCTTACAAGTTATTTTATTAAGTGTTCTTAACGGAATAGTTTATAATACGTAAAGAACTCACTTTTTTCATGGGGAATTCTACCAGTTTCGTTTTTTAGTTTTTCTTGTGAGATTTTTTTTGATGCAAATTTATTCTTTGCCAGGAAATCTGAAATTTTTTTCGTACTGCAAAACCTACACAAATGTGTAGTCTAGGTCACAACTACTTTCTCGTTAATGAGAAATAGCGAAGAAGTGTAAAATCAGAATTTGTGAAGTTTTGAAGAATCGGATCCAAATTTCAATGATAGAATCACTTGCTCTGTTTTTCAGTACACTTGCATTTATTCCTATAGGAGTCACTTATATTAATCTTCGTTTCATATAACATATTTCAGCTATGATAACGCTGTGGTTATTTTTAGGAAGAGAAATATAACAACATCTGCATAAGACGGAAATTTTGCAGAAAAATTTGAAAATTTTTCCATTTACTTGTCCTGCTTCCTGTATCTATCCAACGGTGAGTAGTCTATATTGTATGCTTGTGTAATTGCAGCTGGTGAATAGTTGCCTGTCTACATCCTTCCGTCGCTATGTTTCATATGGATGTCATTCCTATCCCTTGTTTCATTTAATTCACTTCATCGCTTGATGACAGTAACAAGCAGTTAAAATGTACACAGGAAAGTGGTAACAATAGCAGTAGATTGGAGTGAAGGTGAAATTGAATGTGGCGTTTTGTGCGTGGGACAAGACAGTTTGCCAAAATGATACACATTCTTCTGTTCTGAACTCAGCTTGTCGCAGTACTGTCAATTCGAGAATGGCTTGGAGAGCATACTCTATGTTGCAAGATAGGGAATTTGGCACTGTGCCACTACCATGCCACATGCCAAATGACATGTAGCTGTCTTTCCCGACAAAGTGGGTGAGAGCAACGAGAGAGCGTGTGTCGTAAGTAGGAGTGAGAGAGAAGCGGTGCACGTGGATGTGTGCTGAATGAAAGAGTGTCATCATATGTTGTCAACTTCCAGCTGATCTTCGCTCTTCGCCATTTCCTCACGCGTATCTCTGCGCTGTCGCCTGTGTCTGTCTGTGTGATGTCTGTTCGTATCGCAACATACACACACACACACACATGTATCCATCAGAGGGCGTCCCCTCTCTCCGCTCGTCACCTCGTCCCCTACTTGTTCGGCGTTATATTGCATAATAGTGTGTGATGTGTGATATATGCTGCTATCGTCGCATTGTTACGTTGCAGTTTCCGTATGTCTGTCTTGTATATCATTGATGCATCACAAAAGATGTGCGGAGGAGGGGTGTGGGACTTTCTTGGTTAGACTTTGGTCCCATCGATACTTGAACATTTTGGGGAGTTTCATTTTATGCTACTTTCACCACTCTAAGTATTATTTGCAGGTTTTTGTGACTGTTGCTTCTGCCCTGAGAGGGCTTACGGTTATCACTTTCGGATTCTGTCACGTCGCGTTTCCGGTTTCATTTCCGGAAATTTACCGAGGCATCCTTATTCCTTTGCTTTTGAATTGTTGCTCTTTTCACAGACGAAAGAACTATTGAAGTCGCTGCGCGTTTGTGCTGTTGCCTTCCCAACGTACGGAATGGATCAGGTGGTTATCACAGCCACATCAACTACCTCGCTTAGTACAAGATTTCAAAGTGGTAACATCTACCACTACCCAAATACCGTTTATCCACCACTTAGGTCCTCTTACTTGGATTCCGAGAAATCATGGCTATCGAATCTCCATATGGATTGTTTCATCTCACCGCCAGCTGCTGTTAGCTCGGCGGCACCTGCAACAACGGCACAGATTTCACCGTCACCGCTTATTCCAACATCATTATTCCATCCTCTCCAAAATATTCCTTTTAGTCTGTCCATGATGATGCAGCACCCACCCACCACAGTATCCAGTGTTAGCAACTGTACATCCAAGACCTTATCTGGTTCCGGACGGTCCAGTGCATCGTTAAATGCTGACGTTGTCCCATCTTCCACCTGGGTCGGTTTGTTTCCTTGGCTTTTTTATAAAACATTCATCGATTTGTTTACATCTGCACTTATTTCCACTAAAACATATGTGCCATCAAATCCGTTCATGTTTTTAAGATTGCTTCTAAAATTTTATTCATTTTTTTTTTATTTCCGTCCTAAAATTTCGTCTCCTCTTTTCTCTAACTAGTCATTCATGAAATACACATTTTGCTCTTCTTTGTGATTAACGACATTTCAATGTAAGGATAGATGACATTTTAATAGAACGATTTTTCGGTCATATATTTCCACAGCTCTTTGATTTGATTACCTTACGTTCCTTTCGCTTCATACGGGAAGATTGACTAATGTAGACAGTCATTTATCTTTTATAAGCTTTCAACTCTCTTTTTTCTGTCACAGTCATTAATTTTCCTGCCCGTTAAATTTTCAAATTTCTCTGTAACTGATCACTTAGTAATTCGATAATACTATCATTGTGAATTCTTACTAATACATATAGCGCATTTATCAATTAAAGTAGTCAGAAGTGGAGGTAGTTTGGTATTTTGGTGTTTGCCGTTCCAAGCAAATATTTAAATCATTTTCCAAGTTTTCAAAGCAGGCAAGAACTGTAATCTAGCAGGTTTCTTTTGACTTATTCCATACTTCCAAGTTGATAATTTTGATCATAAAATTTATTACTTGTAGGGATCGCAAGATAGTGGACGAGCAACAGGAGGTTTGGCTTCGTCATTAAGTCCGGCTGATGATGCAGCACCACGAGAAAGCCCCGAAGTGCGGTCTGTTTATGAGTTTGAGATACCTAATACATTGGTTGGATTAATCATTGGTATCAAGGGTAAAACTATAAAGGTTTTTATTCATTCATTTGAATTTTGCATGTTAAGGCTTTGAATAAAAAAGTTCGCTGCTGCTAATTGTTTTCAAATAATTATATTTGTTTATGCAACGCACTGAATGCATCCAAGATTTTTGTTGATTGTCCATATACTTTTCTTTTTTCTCTTTAAATGATTGAATTTAATAAACGTTAGTTAACTTTGATAAACTAAGTGGAATACGTATTCAAATAGTTGAAGAAAACACTTCATGTCCTCTTCTAAAACCCACTAAATAGTTTCGCTTCTTTACTTCGTGTTTATTGTTCTCATAGTATTTTTATTCCTCTTTTTTTTTTCTTTTTTTTTTTGTGTCTCTGTGTGTCTGTCGTGATTTTCCTAGAAATGTTTGTTTTCAGGAATTGTGTCTCCGTACAGAAGTGAAAATGATTATCAGACCCCACCATACACCATCAAAGGTAAACTTTTCTTTTTCTTCTAGATTTAATATTCCAGGAAATCTTGTCCGTACATTTGATTTTGGTTTTTCATTCATTATTGCTGTAACCATTTTTCGTTGAAAGTCTTGCAATTTCACATCTCTTTCACTTTTCTTGTAAGCAGAGAAGTATCATTTTTTTTCGTTAAATCATTTTATCCTTCCACATTCTTCTTTGTTCCACCATTATCAGATTTTATCGTTACCCGTAATTCACAACAGTGGTAATACTATTTCATATATTACAACGGTGTGTGTGGGTGAAGTTCGGAAATTTGCGCACCGTTTTTGGAAATTTTTATAGATTCGGAGATTCTTAAAAAAGTGACGATTTTCTTTTTTCTAGAGAATCAGCGTCCATCAGCGCTGATCATTGGAATATAAGATCAGTTTAAATGTGGTTAATATAGCTAATTACAGTTAGAAACGCACCAAATTTGTGCTGTGGAAGGATCACGTGAAAATATCAACAAATGTCTGCGAATGATGCGACGACGTTTTCCTGCTGCTCGATTTCCGGAATTAAATTTAAGGCCTGTGCTGCCACCAGCATTTCCGGACCCACCAACAACACTTTACGGCACAAGACCAGTACAGGTATTTTGTTTTCCCATTTAAAAACCTTTCATTTGCATTCAGTCTTACCTAAATCTGTTCTTTATTGATGTTTTCTATCTCAAAGCGATGTAAACTAACTCAGGGTCCTGGAACATTCTATTAGGATTTGGGAAATGATAAACTAATATACTGAAACCTGGCATGCTTACTTGAGATAGGTTTTGAAATATTAGCTTTAATGGTGCTTTAATCAATGTTTTAACATGATGCTACACTGCAGTAAGTGAAGTAGTATTGAAGATAATGGGCTTTACATCTTCCAGAATATTGGAAAGAAAGAAGAGTCCGAACTTTGGGGAAATGAATATTTAGACAGTAGTTATTAGTTCGGAAATCAAAAAAAAATTTTTTTTTTTGTTGGGGAATTAGGAGGTTATTCATTTCGTAAGAGTTGCAGTAGTATATGGTTTAAAATATGCTGGACAACTTAAAATATTTTGTTTCCCTCCATATGGTACCAATTTTTGGAAAAGAAAGAGTAATTGATCATAGATGATAAGATCGGGAAGTGTTAGAAGGCGGAGTTAGTGAACATCAGACAGAAGAATAGTTGAAATGAGTAACTGTTATCTGTATAAAATTTCTAATATTGTTTCGACGGAAGAATGCGTTTCAGTAAACGAAAGAATAAAATAATAATGCCGTAATGTGAATGATGTCTAACAACTGCCATTGCACACGTTGTTACTGCATAGATGCATAGATAACTCAAAGGCATATTCTGCTACTAATCTCTCTGCATAGCAGTACGTGCTGCAATTTCAAAGAATTACTTAAAATTTATGATTTAATTTTGGTGGGAAAGATATATTACAATGTGGTACCATTGTTCTCTTAAATTATCAGAATTCAATGCAGATAAACGGCTAGTTAGACAGTAGTTATTAGTTTATTCATTTGCTATAAAAACATTCATGAATGTAGTAGTCTTTTCCATTCAATAACTTGATAACACGTTACTGTTCTGAAACTTAAGAACAAAATAATGAATGACATGATGGTGCAAGATATGCAAGAAATAATTATATATCATTGAAGCTAACCCAAGTACCTTTAATTGATAACTGTAGCTGACTATTTTAGCGCTGGAGAGGAGGTAGGGAGTTCGTAGTTTATGCAGTTTAGAAAGTGGTGATTGATATTTTACAGTTGACATTGCCGGAGGGCGAACGTTGTCGAGTAATTTGTTCAGCTACCATTGATGTTGGCCATTTCTTTCTTCAACAGCCGCAACATCCGACATTTAACGCGCTGCAACGGCTAGATTATTATATGCTTGGTGTCTATATGCAACCAGCGGGCGTACCAGATTTACCGAAACCAGTAGACGGTTGGTATTGTTTTCCATATTTTGGCATTGCGAAATACAGCATCCTAAAAGAAAAAGGAGCTTGTCAAATATATGTTTTTTTTTACATACAAGTTTTTAAGCATGTAGGAATTTTCAGTCGATAAATTATGTGTTGCACCAGCTTTCGATGGTTGGTATCGTGCAGTAACACTTGACTATTACCCTGAAGAAGATGAAGTTATGGTAAGATATGTAGATTATGGCGGTTATGGTCGTATCCCGAGAAGCGATTTACGACAAATAAGGTTAGTCATTCAGCTTATATGCAGCTTTAATGGAAATAAATTTTACCATTAAAGTTAGCTAAGAGTTTTCATTATAGAACGTTCTTTCATTATAAAAATTTTTGGGATTTGAGAGTGTTGTGGTTAGTGATTTTTGCTCTGGAACTTATAATGTGCATGTTCACTTGCGAAGTAGTTTTGAATTAGTAAAATATCGAAATTCTTTTGACAGTAATTATATAACCTCTAAGATTTTAATTTTGATGGTAAGGTAAATGATTCTGGCATGAGTAGCATAATATAGCAGTGATAATGATAATAGTGAAAGGGATTTTATGTGGTTCTATTGGTGATAAAGCTGTGAAGAGTGCTGTAGTTTTTTTTTTTTTTTTTTAATGCAGTTTTGTTTTCTTACAGAACTGATTTTATGACGCTACCGTTTCAAGCTACTGAGTGTTATTTGGCACATATTATGCCCGTGGATGGTATTGTTTTCATTTTTTTTTAAATAAGGGGATGGGAAAGAAGGTGTGCAAAGTGTACATGAATCTCAAAAAGGTCAAGCAGGTCATCTTCTTTCTTTACTTTGATTTGTTGGTGTTGATGATCCCACAAGGATTTTCAAAAAACTTTGGGATATTATGATTTTGATGTTTTATACATTTGTTTCTGTCAACATATTATACATTACTTTTGAGGGACGACAAAATGGTCCGATGAAGCACTGAAGCTGTTCCAAACACTGACGCAGGGTCGCATGCTGGAATGTTATGTTGTCGGGTATCATATTGAAGACTCAAGACCTTTTGTCGAGATATTCGCAACCGATGAAAATAATAGGGTTCATTTTCCTAGTCTTAGAAAACATCGTCGAAATTAGTTGTTAGGGTTTGAAATTTGAAAATAATTTAATTTGTTTTTCTTTAGGTAGATCGAATTGATAGTGCTCTGTTAGATGCAAATCTTGCAAAGGCGTGGGATCCGTCGAAGGTTAGACCAGTACTTCCAAGGCCAGTACCACCATTATCAAATACACGTTTGCTTGGTCGTACTGGAAATGAAGTTTTTGTTGCAGAATGAAGATTAGAAGGAATGCAAATTGGTTCATTTGTTGAAATGCAAAAAAAAAAAAAAAAAAAAAAAAACAAATCGTTTATGCGTAGAGCAACTTGTTATCAACAAATTAATTACCAACAACTCTTCATGAATAGGAATTTTCTTTCTATTTCAAATTCCAAAATTAGCTAAACCTGCTTGAAAATTTTTTCGTAGCAGTTATTAGCTAAACCTGCTTGAAAATTTTTTTCGTAGCACTTTTCGTAGCAGCACAGCTTTGCTTTAATTTTTGCTATTTATAAATTCCCTCCGGCTGTTATATTTGTAATTTCACATGAAAGTCTTGCGGTTTTATTCTCCTCGAATTTTGTCTCTTTGTTGGTTTTTTATTTGGTTTAATTTTCTTTCTATTTTTCATTTTCGTTCCATTATTTTCAAAGAGTTCTGTTCAGGTACACCTCCCAATTTTCTATTTAATGCATGTTTTTATACATTTCCTGCAGTGTAAATTTTAATCTCTATGGTGTCTCTCCCCATATTTTCGCTGTCTTCTGATTTGTGCTTTTTTCACTTCTCCGAAAATCTGGAAAGTTTTATCTTTGTAATAATCCTTCCGTATTTCTCCTTTTTTTTCGTGTTTTCCTGGCAATTATTTTTTTAACTTATGTGCTATTGTGCAAGAAACTGTGTGTCGATTGTTTTCATCGCAGATTTATTCCTTTTTCATGTATATTTCTGTTTTGTTTATCACCAATAGTATTTTGTTTCAGGTTCCCATAAGCTATTGTTTGCCGGTTTCAAGTAGAATCAAGTAGAAATTAAATATTGTAGTGACCCGTTTAAGATTATAGCGGTGATTTTCTTCTGTTTTGATAACGAAGTAATGTCAGTGGCGCTGTGATGTCATTTCCTAGATTGTGTGAATGGCTTTCTCGCTTTTTTGGCGGGTGTTAGTAAGATTATAGTTGTAAAACTGTGGTTTCAAAAATGCAACTACCCGATATATGGAAGCTTCTTTTATCACTTGTATCACTGTTTTCTTCACGACACTTGGTATTCAAGTTAAAAAGAAAGGCAACGATGGTAACTGGTAGATGTATGGAACCTTCTTGCTCAAATTTAGGATTCCTGACTCAGTTTTTTTCTCCAGTATTTTGCTTTTTACTTCGCTCTGGCCATCGTTTTGACAAAGACGCCAGATACTGCTTGTTTTACATGCTGTTCCAATTTTGAACGTTGTTTTAAATCAATCCAATTTCGGGTTTCAAATCAGTTCAGTATCGGTACTTCTATATGTTTCCTTTGTGTTTTTTGGGACATTGTTTACTGTTTACTTCCTCAATTTTCATTTTACCCTTGTTTCATTCATTCTAAATAGGAAGCTTATCAACTTTTATCGATTATTTCTTGGGATTTTCTTTATGATTTCTCTTGTGTTCGTAAATTAAATAGATATTTCCAACACATTTGCTTTTGTCGTGTTTACTGGCGATGATAAATATCAAATATGAAAAGGTGAGTCGGAATGAAGATCGTACAAGGAAGGGACCGTATTGTACAGGACTAAAGATTTTGGAGATTGAGTAACAGCTCAAGAATAAGCCTATAACAAATAAATTGGTACGGGCACATAATCGCACATTCCAATGTTTTTTATGAGTTTTTCAGAGTGATTAAATAAGTAATGTGGATCTGTGAAATTTCCTTACACACATTGCACTGTTCTTTGGAGCTCCTTTCCGACTGGGTGAGGATCAGCCACACATAAATAGAACTTAACTAAGGAATTAACTAGGGTTCCTGAGTCTTATTACATTTGAAATTAAGGAAGTATTGCTTTATTAAATTGTACAAAGAGATATAAAAAATAGGCAACATAATCTGTACAACGACGATATATACATATGGTAGCACTTCAGTGAAAACATTTTTTGACTTCGGTTATTTGAACTTTTTTTTACTGTTCAGTGCATCCACAGCATTTCAAAAGTGGTTCATCGGATAAACTGGATTTGGTGTAACCGCCACTGAGTCATTACCACTACCGTGGTAATGATTATGGTGATATGTAGGTTGGAATAGGGGAACTTCAACTAAAATAAAATATGAAATTGTAGAACATTTGCAGGAACATAAGAGTTGTGATTCCTACCTAATCAGTATACAAATTAACTTTTTAGAAAAGGTGTGGCTTATATTTTTGTTGTAACTTGATACCTAATATAAGGGCTGTTTTAGATATAAGTACAATTTATCTCAGGGCTGGTATTATAAATAAATATATATATTACATGTATCACTTAAAAAGAATATGGAACTTACACTGATATGCTTGTTGCTGCACATTCGCTTCTGGTTGCTGTACATAATAGGACATTCCGTTGTTTGGATATTTATTCGAATAGACATCATAGTGTTGTGGCGTAGAACATTCTATGAACGTATGAGGTGGAAAACGCGGAAAAATGGATGATTTATTTGGACTGTTATATTGATTGTAGCAATAACCGAACTTTGGATACTCGATTCCATTATACATCCTTGTATTATTCTGCAAAAGGGTAACGGTGACGAGTGATTTCAAGCTTAATCTTCGTCCTGAGAATACATATTTACATTGCTTTCGATTAATTCTACTATTTAAGCATATGAAGTGGATTAGTTGAAGTCTAAAATTAAACGACACACAAAGACTGTTCCTAAAACAAAGTACCATATGTGAAAGCTGGGCACTGTTTGTAGACATATGGCATCCATTGTTAAATAAATTTAGTAGCTGCTGTTGTTGTTGATGACGCGAATGATCGTAATGTTGAAAATGCGCAAGCTGATGATGATAATGCTGCTGCTGCTGGTGGTGGTGGTGGTGCTGCTGTTGTTGTGGTTGATGTAGACGCTGACCGGATGCTATTACTGCTGATGGAATTGCAGCTGCACTTGTGTAACCGCTGCTACTGCTACCATTGACATTATTATTGCCAACTAATGATGTTAATGGCATAGCATTCGTGCTACCAACACTACTCGTACTGTTACTGCTACTGGCATTCCTAGTACACAACAAAGGATTGTCTTGTACTACCATTGCTGCAGGTGCTGCTGGTACTGCCAATACTGATGCTACTGGGTTTCTCTGTGGCTGATCGCCTGAAAATGTTATAACTACTGAATCATCTGTCGATCGCAAAACTCATGCTTCTATAAACTGTCTTGCAAACAGCGGTTTGTCTATCCCATATATTTAAAAAGTCAGTCTTTATTTGGTCTTAAGTATTGGATATCCAAACTGCTATATTTGAAAAACCTTGCTATATATGAGAATGTCGAAATTGCACGTTTGATTATGTGAAAAAAACAGATATTCAAGTCGTAAACAGTGCTTTGATAGGAGAGTCCTTTCTAAGACAGTTTTATTAAGCAAAAATTATGGATATTAAACAAAATTTAACTAGTGAATTCGTTAAAATTCAGCTATCACAACAGCAAGCATACTGTACTAATTAATAGCACTTACAAGGTGGTGTAAGGGCGTTTTGTTGAGGTGTTACAGCAGCACTATGTGAATCATAAAATGAATTCGTGGAACATCGAGCGGATGAAGAAAGATGTGCTGGAGACGGTACACTGTTGGGCGTACCACAGGTAACTGACATCGGTGAAACTATCTGAAAATTATTTTTTACAAAGATGTCTGTAATATTCTGTTCCATATTAATCCTTCTTAAAAAATTAACGAGTTGCACGAACTTTGATATTTGATTCAATTTGTCAGTTTCAACCAAATTTATCTAATTTTAACTTCCATCACAGTACTCATCATAAAGACACTGTCCCAACAATATTAAAAAAGGCTTGAAATTCTTGAAACTGAAAGTGATTTCACTGATAGTTCAAACATACCGAACTGCTTGCGGATTGCACTTTGAGCTTCTCCGTTTCCGTAGCTAATGTGGATGGCTGTTCATCGCAACGATTAACCAACACTCCTTCCAGACAGTTTCCTCCAAGATCATCCAGTGAATTACTCTGCAAAGACCACTATATATTTGGAACTATATAATACGAAAATGCATAAGAAATTAATGTTACTAAAAAAAATTCGTGTCAAGAACAATTCTAAAATCTGCCTTCCATCTTCATAGAAGCATGATTACAGAATCTGCAGCAGTTTATTTTGACGAAAGATTACAAAATTTTTCCGTTCCAGTTAAAATATAACTCAGTTGTCAACTCGCAAATCTTAGTTACTTTACATTATAAAAAATTCGATTGCATTTGTAATTTACAAGCGCATATGAGCTACAAAAGTGTTTATCAATGAGTCCCATTACGATTAAAACCAATGTTTAATATTATCTAAATTACATATATCCAATTACCGGTCCAATTTGGTCCATCAGATCTTTCACGTGCGATTCAGCTAACTCCGGCATCGTTGACAAATTGCTCATTTCTTCGGGAATGGTGGAAACTTCAGCTTCGTGTGCTTGTGATGTTGTTGGTAATATTGAACTGCCCAATCTTGTCTGATCGTATTGTTCGACTCTTTCTAATTCGGAGACAATAGAATTCATCTGATGTGTTTCTTTATCCATCGATTTGTTACACTACAAAACATATTATTCGTGTTAAAATTAGTATTTAATTTTTTTTTTTTTTTTTAATTTCAAAACCAATATTTAAACAATGAAAAACAGGTAGAATTAATTTGGAGCAAATTGAAATTGTTTTAAACAAATTTGTATCTCTTACATCCCTTCTATCATTATAACTAGTTGTTGGACAATAAGGGACTTGTTTCGATATCAAAGTTGAATATTTAAGTGAATTATTAGTCTGCATTGCAGCACTATTCTGAAATATTTCTGGCTCTTTTCCGTGATATATATTACGCTGATCACTCAAAATGGCCATGTGTGTGTACTGTGTCCATCCACTATTCCCTTCAAATGGTCGTTTTCGAATCTGAAAATAACGTGCAGCTGAAAGATGTCAAGAACTTCCCTAATTTTCTAACCTATAAA